TGTACGATCAGCAACGGTGTTTCTGCTCAAGCTCACGTTTAAAAATGCCTTTATATCAGGGCACACAACGTCGCAAACTTTGATCATGCAGTTTTTGACAAACTCTCCCTCAGTAAAGGGTCGGGCTGATTTAGCGATCTCTGCTGCCACAATAAAGCTCGCCTTTACAGCAGCTTCACTTTGTGATGTGGCCTTTGTGAACATAGTCTGTCGTGAAACCCTACTTCTTTTCATCTCCTCTACTTTCTGGCGCTTCTGCTCTATGTCCAGGTCTATGTAGGCTACTATTCGTGGTGTTTCGTTTCATAGTGCCTTCTTATATTATATTCTTTTGTTACAGCCACGTTGGCTCCGCACACAAGACAAACAGGTCTGTCCTTTACGGTCGTGAACAGATATTCTGTCTCCCACCTTCCGTTTGGCCACTTTTTGGGAGGGGTGTCTGACATCTGCCCGAGGTGACTGGTAGCATGAGGTTGCGAATGAATGAAAACAGAGGAGGGGATGCTTGCGGGTCTTGACACGCCAAGGCACAAGCAGAGCATTCTGGGATTTGTAGCATTAGCATTGCATGTGTTACCCGGCGGGCCAGCTCAAATAGAAATTTGATATTATCTTGCGGGCCAAATATAATTACACCACGGGCCAAATCGCCCCTGCTTTAGGGCTGTCAGAAGGCATTGTGGGAAATGTTATGCATTATACTGTTTTGTTTTTAATGTAAAAACAACTTGTTTCCAGTAATTCTTTAAATAAGTGCCATTTTCTCAGTGTTCTGCCTTATTTCTTATTGCTTTAAGACACAGACACTCACTTTCATTCTTGAAACAAGTTGATTTTTTGCAGGTTTTTGTAGCAGGCTGAAATATCTCTATTATATATCTGTTATAGTGCTGATATTTCCAGGTCTTAGTTAAAGACAGAAATGACTTTGGTGATTGCAGTGAAAAAATTTGTTGGTACAGACAATTCGTGTTGAGGAAAGTGTGTACAACCAAGTCTTTGAGAAAGAATGCTGAAAATATTTAATAACATGAGTCTGTCTTCAGGGGAGTTTTTCTTTCTATCTTTAGTCACACGCAGCATGCCAAAGCTAAAAGGCAGTGTCTCTGGTGTATCCATGGAGCTTTTTCCAGCCAAAAACACCCAAATACAAATACAAACATATTAATAAGATGTAGTCCAAGACTGATGGATGTTTGGGTTTTTTATTTTTATTTTTATTTTTTTGAAGAGCTGACCATTGGTGTCTATTAACTTCAACACTAGAACTTGATAAATATGAGGTTGAGATCTGAGCTCTGTGGGATCGGTGGAACTGAAAACCGAGGGAGGAAAAATGCTGCGTTCCGTTTTTTTCATGTAGGAGTAACATTTACTCAAGTGTACAAAGTAAACAGTGAAGAAGGTGTTAGTCCCACTGTGTGAGGAGACTTCAGATTGCCTGAATGGAATAGATGTTAAACAATTTCATTTGAACAATTACCCATGAAAGTATAATAGCTAGTGCCAGTGGTATTTGGATTGTGCTGAAGCCACTGAGGAAGCCATACAATTAGCCCATAAACTGATGTTAACAGCCAGCTTGATGACTTTAAATTGCAGCCAAATAGGCTTAAACACTTTCCTTCCTTTCTCTGCTCCATTACGTCCTAAAATAACGGACCTGAAAAGTGCTACCTTGCATTCAGACTCCAGATTGGTGCAAGATTTCAAACAGTTGTCCCGAAGAATGTTTCTGACCTCAGTCTGTAGTAAAACAAAACTCAGTAGTAACAGCTTGACAATTGACACTTCCTAAGTCCCGCCCCTTTTTGCTCTGTGCTCCTTTGTCCCTTCTGGGCTACTGTAGAAACATCATGGCTGTAGCGTCTGCCAGATAAAAGCAGCTCATTCTAAGGTAACAAAAACACAACGGTTCCTATATTCAGGTGATTATCCACTAAAGAAAACATATATTTAATTATTGACAATAGACCCTCCTCAATATTATAAAACAAAAAAACACTAACCAACTAGCTAGCTAATCTACATCAAGCTTTAGCGAGCTAGTTGGCTAGTTACCTTCGCTAACCTCCATTAATCGTTAGCTCGCTGTTTACATCTGCTTTTTTAATTATCTTCAAAATGCGGTTGTCTTTTCAGCATAGGCTAGCCTAGCATATAGCATATCTAAGTACAGGACGGAAGAAAGAAAGTTGACCGAGGCTTGCTCAACTGTGATTGGAGCACAGAGCAAAAAGGGGCGGGACTAGGTTGTTTGCCTCATGTCTTTGTCAATTTTGACTCCGATGAAGACACAATAGTATCGAAATGTTAGTCTGTTTGCGTAATGAAAGGCTGTGAACTCATCAGTGTGCTCCAGTCCTCCTTTGTTTTCTGTAAAACAAAAGCAGTCAGGCCAATATATAACGTGCAGCACTGAGGATAGATCTGATAGCAGAATAACTGCACACAGTCAGTCTAACTGTACATTGTTATCATTTCTGTTCCATTCAGTCCTATCTCTGATTGACTTTTGTAGCCGCTGAGATCAAAGGCGGGAGGAGACAAAAGATGAAAGAAGATAAAAGAAGAGTTGGAGGAGAGACATCCTCCGAGCTGTCACCTCACCACATCGCCTCCAGTAGAGTGGCAAACAGGTTCTGCATCAAAACCCCTGAAATGAATAAAAAACTCAACACAACACACTTTCAGCACTTGCCCTGTGTATTGTTTTGTTTCTCATGACTGGCTAATGCAAGTATTTACAAATGTACAACTTCCACACCACGTCTGTGTGGAAATGAATGTCTCCACTCATCTGTATTCCGCTTCCCGTGCACACAGAGGAATGACCAGAGGGAGCGTGGCGTGTCAGACGGGAGATTTTTAATATCCTGCCAGAAATTCTCCTCATGTTCAGCCTCTGCTGAGTTGTCTTGTGCCAGATTCCTTCAGCTGTGTGTTTAAAATTACTTGCCTCCCTCTGGTTACTGAACGAGTCTTGTTGTTGCCAAAAAATACAAGTTGGACCCCATCTAGGATCATAATGCTGGTGGAGGGAGGAGGAGGAGGAGGTCGATGATGATGATGATGTTGGGAGCAAACTGTTTTAACCATTTTCATATCAGCAACATTCAAAGTGAACCACATTAAAGGAGGACTCCAACAATTTTACACATGCAGATCCGTTGACTTGTCATGGAGAGTACCTTTCATTCCACAGAGTTGTATAATGTCTTCTTGAGGACCTCTGTCAAGTCTGAGAAATGATGTAATGTTTAGCTCTGGCTCGCCAAATACAAATTCTTAACAGAAAGCCCGAATAACAAACTGGAGGTGTTTATCCGAACTAAGAGGCGCTGTTAAGCTGCATTACTGGAATCAGACTGCGTAACACATATTAAAGGTGTCCTTTATAGTTTTCTTGTAAACAAACAACAGCTTATATTCAGTATTTCTTACCAAAACTCACTGTATCCTTGAGGTCAGCCAAACATGTGAGTGCATTTCCTTCCTCATAAAACATTTTCTAAGAAGGACTTATTCATATTTTATGAATTCACATTTGGGAGAAATGGAATATAATATTAATAGGTATGTTTTCATTAGTGTATAATCACCTGAATATAAGAACATTTGTGTTTGTGTTACCTTAGAATGATACGTTTTTATCTACAGAGGAGTCCGCCATGTTGAACTACCACTTATGGATCAAAGGTGATGATTGAGAGGGACTTGTTTGAGTCTATACATTGTTTTATGCTATAAGAGGAATGTGTTGTCTTTTACTGCAAACCAAATCTACCTATGGTCACACATGAAGTAACCTTGAACCTTAATCGATTGGTCCATAAAATGTCAGAAAGTGGTGAAAAAAGTTGATCAGTGTTTCCTGAAGTCCTCAAATGTCTTGTTTTGTCCACAACCCAAAGATATTCAGTTTACTGTCACAGAGGACTAAAGAAACTAAAGAAAATATTCACATTTGAGACGCTGAAATCAGAAAATCTGGGCATTTTTCTAGGTCCAGTGTGTAACAGAGTCTATTGTCAGAAAGGAATATAATATTCATAGGTATGTTTTCTTTAGTGTATAAACAACTGGATATATGAATCACTGTGTTTTTGTTACCTTAGAATGAGCTGTTTTTATCTACAGATGCTGTGGGTGGCCTTCTATGGAGTCCGCCATGTTGTACCACCATGTTTCTACAGTTGCCAAGAAGGGACAATCCTAACACTGGCTGTACATAGAGCCATTCTCATTTTTATTATGTTTATCTGTAGTTGCTCCCTCACAGGTGGAAAGGGAGGGTGAAACAAATGAGTTGCAATCTGCAGCTACACCTCTAGATGTCACTAAATCCTACACAGTGGTCCTTTCAGTCAGGATGCCTTGGCATTTCCTGCATCAATTTTAATCTTTTTTATGTCTCATGAGAGTTGCCCAAACTTTTTAGTCCCACATACCCACATTCTGTTCTATTAAGCCCCACATGTACTGTTTCTTAAATGATTTAATACTGAAACGTGCAGCAGTCTGCATTATGCATGGCAAAATGTATAATTATAGAAGTGATTATTCTGCGTTCTCTTAGTGGGAGAAATGGTTGCAGGGGGCCTTGATGGAACCGCTCAGGACCCCACAGAGAGAGAGATCTTTTATCTTGAGTAATGCTATCTCTGATGTCTTCAATACTCAAACAGCCTGCTGTAGTGAGGCCTGTTGTTGCTCAACAGGGCTGGAATTGTGTGGTCATCATGCCAGCATCAGACAATGGCTCATGTATTTTCACCTTCCCAACCACACTCAACTTTCACTCCAATTCTTAAGAAACTGGAGGAGTAGACTGCTGGGCGCAGGCAGGACTGTGTGATTCAACTTATGGGAAGTGAAACTCCTTCGGGAATAGGGAGGAGGCTGCAAAGGTCCAACGAACTTTGGGGGGAGTGACTCGAGAGGGAGGGGGTGGCGGTGGTTTGGGGGTATAAACAGCAAAGCAGCGCCACCGCCCCCTCCGTTAGAGCAACTTTGTGTCCCTGCACATCCGTCTCTGTCTCTGTCTCTCTCTCTCTCTCTCTCTCTCTCGAGTCCGGCCCGCAGTGGGGGTAGCAGCAGGCTGGGAGTGCGTCCTCCTCCGGTGCAGTCCGGTCCGCTCAAGTTGCAAAGCACCGACTCTGCTGTGCAGACATGGCACCTGTCCTCCAAATGTTGGCCGTCATCATGGCAGCAGCGCTCCTGCAAACTGCGACATCGGCCCACCTCAACGACACGTAAGTACCGCAAGTTTTACTTTTTGACCAAACTGCCGCATGTCAGGTTGTCTGCACAAGTTTGGTTTGTGCGTCACCCCGCTAGACGAGAACACGCGCCGGTGTTTGCAGAGGACGCAGCTGCACGTGATGAAGTGAGCAAAAAAAAGTTTCAAATAGTGTCCTATTGTGGTGTGTTTGTTGTTACCGAGGACCAGAATCCAGCATCGTCCCGCTGGTGAGGCACATAGTCCGGGTTGGCCTCAGGATACTGTTATGCAATCTATAGAGAGGCAGTCTCACCAGTGTGTGTGTGTGTGTGTGTGTGAGAGAGAGAGTGAGTGAGTGTGTGTGTGTGTCAAAGTTCCTCCATCTGCTACCACTTACCACTAATAATCTGCTCATAGCTGCTCAAATTGTTGGGACAAAGTGGAACAATGAGGGATGAGTGATGCTCATTTGGTTCATCCACTAAAGTGGTGACCAATGATCAGTTTATGTTTTTATCCTTCATAATGCTGTTTTCAGGCCAGTGGTTCTCAACCTAGGGGTCGGCAACCCCCTCTAGGGGTTGCTGAAGCTTTACCGGGGTTGCGAGGCCCTCCTGATTTTAAGTGGTGTAAGAAAACTTCAAAAATATACACAGTAGGCCTATATTATATAGAAAAGTAAATGTAAAGTAAACTGTCTAATAGAGCAATGGCCAAGCATCAGGGACAAGAAAACACTGAATTTGTCAAAAAGAAGACGATTAAGTCTGTATGATTGTTAGAATATTGCATAAAAAGTTCACTAAACAGGAAATAATCTGCTCAACATTTACACAACTTCTATAATATAAAATATCCAGCGGTCGTCAGTTTGAGAAATGATAGAAAAGGGGTCCCTTAAGGAAAAAGGTTGGGAACCATGGTTTTAGGCCATAAGGCCAAACAGATGTCTTTTTTAAGATCAAGATCTGCGCTGTTGGTTATTAATGCTCACTGTCTGCATATTGATTCATGTCCTGACCTTTGTCTTGCAGTCCTGTGTGTTAATCTACATCCCTTCATTGGCCACTTCGCTCCTCAAATCTCGGCCTTTTATCCGTTCCACGCTCTACCTGTAAATCTAAAGGGGACTGTGCCTTTGCTGTTTTAGCGCCAACATTGTGGAATAGTCTTCTCCAATCACTTAGATTCACTGAATCTGTGGACTGTTTTAAGCGGCTGCTCAAAACCCTCCTCTACAGGCAAACCTTTTATAGATATCCTTGTTTGTTTCCTCATCTGTTGTCTCTCTTTTAATTTATCCCTCCCTTTTTGATTTATCTTCCTTTGTTTGTTTCTACATGCGCTCTATGTTTGTGTTTTTGTGTGTTATGTTTTATTTATTTGTTGTTTGGAAAGCACTTTGTATCTCTGTGTCAAAAAGGTGCTATATAAATAACTTACTTACTCACTTACTCATCATGACTCAAATGCCTTTCATAGTTTAGTATCAGAGTCAAATGACTTTTCGTCATTGTGCAACCTCCTCTCTGGCTTAAAATGGCATCAATATTCTCAGCAGCACCACCCACAACTCAATTAAATGTGTCCTTTATTTCTCATTGGCAGCGGTAGCCCCCTGTGTGCCAACCAGCCTCAAACGCAGAATATTCAGCAGAGCGGTTGGTTGAATCCAGATAATATGGTTGTTTACGGTGTCCTTCAGTGTAATTTACATGGAAAACGCATTGAAATAACACCACATACCATTTAGTGACTTGCATGTCTGTTTTAGAGGTGGAAGAAGTACCAACACCACCAATATTCCATTACAAGTATTATATTTATATATTTATTCAAAGTAATATTTAAACTTACAGTAAGGAGTTTTAACTGGTTATGATACAGTCTCAATTTTAATACTGATGCCTCTATATAAACAAACAACGCCATCAGTAATACTGGCTATTTCTATAAAGTAATGACTGCCAGCAGGTCAGGTTTGGTTGGATTTCCCCTCACAAACCACGGAAGTACAAGTATTCAAGTATTACAGAATATACTTTAAAGGTACAGTGTGTAACATTTAGGAGCGTCTATTGTCAGAAATTGAATATAATATTTATAGGTATGTTTTTGTTAGTGTGTAATCACCTGAATATAAGAATCATTGTAGTTTTATTACCTTAGAATGAGCTGCTTTTATCTACAGGTGCTGTGGGTCAACCTACCATGGAGTTTGCCATGTTGAACTGTCATGTTTCTACAGTAGCCCAGAACAGCCAAACCCAATACTGGCTCTAGACAGGACCATTTGCGCTTTTCGCACGTCCCACTGGACTTTTTGCAGATTCAAACCTGCAGTACAGATTTTTTGACCACTTGGTTGCAGCAGTAATAAGCTGTAAACCTAAAACTGACATATTATCACCTTTTTTATATACAGTTGCCTATTTACACCTACAGCAGACAGGGAGCAACATTAACATTAATTTGGAGTCGTGTTTCTGTCCAGCTGATGAAGCAAGTCTACTATTCACTCTCCGTTTTAGCAGTTTTGGTCTCCACCAACTCCTGAGTTGCACCAGCTGTGTGTAAGCTCAAACTTAGCCTAGTTATAACGTAAGTTATTACTAAGTTGTGATTTATGCATGACTGAAAGTGGTTGCACCACTGATAAGTTACAACTCTAAGTAACATCTAAATATTTACACACGCCATACAAGGTAGTGTCAATATAATATAACAATATAAGTTTTTCTGCCACTCAGCATAATGTTTTCATGAATTGCAGCCATTTTGTGACACATTAATCGAGTAGAGACCCAATGTATTGATATTTCATTACGATGAGCTACGATGCCAGGTGGTTCATATCAGCTAGAAAGCTAATGTGCTACTTTGGGTAGGTAGCGTACAGTATGTTTTAGAACATCATAATAAACAGCTGACTGCTATGGCAGGAGAAAGAAAAATACAACAGAGTGTAGTTTTTGTAGTTGTGGAAAACTAAAACAATGAGCTAAAAGAAGCTAAATGCTATGTTCTTTAGAGCCATTGACAATATATCTAATGGACAGAGCTTCTGGGTCTGTGAAGTGGGCCAACACGAAGTGTCTTAAACCTGCATTCTATGTAATGGCCAGCAGGGGGCTGTTCCATTGGCTGCAATAAAAAAACCAATAGCATGCAGTCTAATGGAGAAATTGGCCAACTTCTCACTTGATTTATGAGCTCAGTAAAAAGTTTCTTAATGAGTTTATGGTCTCAATCTCTAGTTTCAGTCTTCTTTCATACAGCATGACGTTCATTTAGTAAATGATGGCCCCATTTAGAGTAAAACAGACCATAAAGCGGGGTATGCTTTAGGGCGGGGCTACCTTGTAATTGACAGGTCATTCTCAGTGAGTCTGTCCGGCTCAACGCACCAAACTCAGATCAAACTGTCAAACTAGGCAGTGCTGATCAAATATGAATCTGGATTCACAAATATATTTTAGTGTACTGTTTAGCTGTAATACGAGAAGATGTGTGACCAGGTGAGTCACCATTGTTTCCTGCTATGGTCCAAACTGTACAGCCAATGAGAGCAGCTCAACTCGCAGTACATCACCTCGGCCACGACCATAACGCCAAACTCATTAACATTAACATTAACTTCCAGTGTTCAGCCTCCGTGGATACTGGAAAAAAACTCCAGGCTGTCGCACATCATATCCTTGTCCAACTCATGCAATCCTTTCCCCCTTCCTCTACCTGCAGCATTTTTGCAGTGACTGTGAGCTCCCAGGTGAGAGGGGGAAAACAGGAGACCCTGTGTGCCCAGATCCACGGCCCCACAGAGCCCGTCTCTCTGACCGTCGCCCTCGAAATGGACTCTGGCAGCACCGTCATCCTGGAGGAGGCTGTCAAACAGGACTTCTACCGCTGCTTAAGCTTCCAGGTCTGACTCAATGTTTTGCACACTCGGTTTGGCAGTTTGCAGAGTGGTGTGTCATGTTTCAGTTCAACATATAAAAGCTGCTTTTTAGTATTTGCTTCCGCATTTACAGTGGCAGCGAGTTAAAGCAGAGCAGATATTAACTTTTAATGTTTGTAGTGGTTCAATGCATCCATGAGGTTTCCAGGAACAGTGTACTTCCCTCCCCTCACCCCCCAGCTCTCCATTAAACTAATGGCACAAATACTGGCGTCGTTATGTACCTAGTTATCCAGCCGGCGCCATGACCGAGGCTGTCAACGCCAATGGTTCTCTGTAAATTACTGCTCTGGTTTCTGTCACAACCCTGCCCGCTGTTATGCAACTTACGGGCCTTGCTCCATATTGATGCGAAGCGACCCGCCGACCCCAATCAGCTCTGTGACAATAGCACTTAGTTTCACTTCGTTCCCCCGTGTTTGGCCCTGCTGCAGGCCTAGTCTGGCATTTGTCTATCTGCCACTAAACAAAGGCTGCTTTCTACCAGAGGCTAACTATGTACCTGCATTCCTCTGGAAAACACCCCCTGCCCCCTACCCTGAGACTCACAACACACACACACACACACACACACACACACACACACACACACACACACACACACACACACACACACACACACACACACACACACACACACGCATATAAAAAAAACTACTTTTGGAAGTGAATCCAGTCCCTGTTATATAATAGCCGCTCCATTAGCAAGTGAAAACATATGCTATACAAGTATGACGACATTTTAGAATTAACCTTGTGAAGTGGAAGAGGCCTGTTGTTGCTCAGATGGATTTACTTCCAAGCAGTTACTCTAAACCATTATAGCTGACAGATGTTGCAAACACAGTCCGGAGAAGGAACATGTACGATGGAGAAAAGTGCTCTACAACTGGGCACACATTGTGGTTCTGTACAAAACTAAATTTAAATGTCCTCACTCCCTTCCTTCCTCTCTTCCTGAAGATTTAAATATCCTCTGGTCCTCTCTGACAGATGTGTGCTTTCTGGTATTGCAGGTCCCTACAGTGCGCTCCAGAACTGTGGCGACCATTAATGTCACTATTGAGGGTGAGAGCGCCTCGATGACCAAGAAAACCAAAATCCTCATCGAGCCTCCTGCTTTCATCCACATCATCCAGACTGATAAACCGATCTACAAACCTGGACAGACTGGTGAGCTCTGCTGCTGCAGCAGGCGTACTGTTCATACAGCCCACATTATCCTCTCCACACTGCTTACCAATTCAGCTGCACTTGCACATTTTTGGACTAAATTACAATATCTGCATAATGCTGAGCAACTACTTGACAACTTTAGGAATTATGTCTGTATTCGGCACACTGAAGAACACTGGTTCCTCAAGAGTTTGTGTGTGTGTGTGTGTGTGTGTGTGTGTGTGTGTGTGTGTGTGTGTGTGTGTGTGTGTTAGAGCTGCAACAATTAGTTGATTAATTGATTAGTTGTCAACTCTTAAATTAATCGTTGACTATTTTGATAAGCGACAATCACTTTGAGTCATTTTTTAAGACAAAAATGTAAAAATTCTCTGATTTCAGCTTCTTAAATGTGAATATTTTTTAGTCCTCTGTGACAGTAAACTGAATATCTTTGGGTTGTGGACAAAACAAGACATATGAGGACGTCACCTTGTGCTTTGAGAACCTCTGATCTACATTTTTCACTTTTTTTTTTTTCTTCTTTTATCAAATAATTAACTAACCCATAAAGAAAATGATCAACATATTAATTGATAAGGAAAATAGTTGTTAGTTGCAGCCCTGGTGCACTAAAAATGGATGGATTTAGAGTGGTGTTTTTCAAATTAAAATTTTAGAACCATCAATGTGTTATTGTGAAATGAGTTATATCAGTTATATGTACTATAAAAATTGGAGACGATGGTTCAGCCAACTTGTCATGTCTATGTAATGCCTGGGGCTGTGTATTCCTGGCGATACGATATGTATCAAGATTAAGGGGTTATGATTGAATATATTGTGATACTGTTAGCAAGGTGATATATATTGCAATTTTTTAAAATCTAATCTCAGGAACATTATTATAGTATAAACAACACACCACCATATGTATAAAATCTGATCTTTTTTAATGCAACACTGGGATATGCATTCACTGTAAATATCACAGTCCCTGTAACCTCAACATCAAGCAGCACTGTTTTCTAGCAGTTGTAGTTTTAAAACCAAAAATCGTGATCGTGAAAAATAGTCTTTTTGAGAATCAATATCACAAACAAAATATTGCAATATGCACCACTCATATTGTATATTTTTCTTAGGACTCTTATCAGGACTTATTTCTTAAAGCTGATGTATATGATTCCATCAGGTTTGCTCCTTGTGACAAGCAGGGTGATCAGTCATGTGTAAAGTGGATGGAGTGGTCCTTTTTTAATATTAACGGCCTGCTACATTACTTTTTTTTCTGTTATCTTGTCATGGTTAGCACGGCTCAGCCTCTAAACATTTTTTTTTTTAAATTTAATTTGAAATGAAATGTGATATTTTGGTTTGTGCTTGGGGATTTTTTTTATGGAAAGCTTTCATTCCAAACTGGTGTTCACCAGGCAAGGAGGGTTTTTCAGAAATATGCTATTAAGTTGCATTATGGGAAATGTAGTATTCAGTGCTTTTGGACCCTCCGATAGGAATTTTAAAGCCAGCATGTCTTGGCATATACTGCTTTTAATTTTAACCATTGTTTTTTTAAATTGACCCTTTTTAAAAGTGCCCCTTTAAGGCCTGTTTTTTTTTTTTTTTTTTATTCTTTTATTTGTCCTGAGAAAGTATCTATCAGATCCTCATCCCACACGATGGAATAGTCCATTTATTCGCTCTGTTTCCTCGTACTCATGTTGTACATTGCTGTCTGCGTGTTATATTTTAGAGAATTCATTAATGCAATTTCTTTCCTGTTTCTTTTCTTTAAAGTTCAGTTCCGAATCGTCTCCATGGATGCCAATTTCCTCCCCGTAGCTCGAGTGGTAGGTTTCATGTTTACTTTTGCCCTGCATATTGTATGGTGTGTGTGTGTGATAATTCCAACCAGCGAACTTTGTAATCTGGTGTGATTTCTACCAAGCAGACAGTGAATCTGAAGAGCGAGGTCTATTTTGGTTCAGGAGAGTGGGAGGTGAAAGGAGGACTGTTTGTTGATTTAGAAGACAGCGTGGGTGTGAAGCGCTGTGTGGAGTAGTGTGATAAACATGCTGTCAGAGTTCATTTGGCACACACTGCATTTGACCCAAACATCTGAATCAATACGGGCTCAAGGCCTTTTCCGCTTGTGTCGAGAGGCTGAAAACATAAGTGCGTGCAGCAAATGTGAAATTCATTCAGATGTGTCGTATGATGAGGGAAGCTCGCTAGAAAGTAGCTCTAAAGACTGTTTCAGGTGGTCTCATAGGAAACAATAAAGCTGTAGCTACTGCTTCCAACTCTTCATATAAGATATGTATATGAGTAAAATATTCATTATTAAATATTTTATATTGAATTTACATCATTTTATACACATCTCGCTAAATTTAGCCTGATTTACTTGGTGCCTTCAGAAACTCTGGGATCTTTACTAGAATTTAAAATTAAGTTAAGAGTTTGTCCAAAAGTTTGTGTATCTCTAGTTTTCTATTAAAAGTTTCTGTAGGTTGCGCTTATTTTTCAGCTCAGGCATGGTAAAGAAAGCTAATTGCCTATTTCTTGTTCTTCTGTTTACTTTGATTAAAAAGTTTCAGTGCATGATAAGTTAAGGGGAGACACTACAGAGGTGAATATGGTAAAATTATTAACTAGTAGATATCACAATGAAACTTCTCCAATTGATTACTTACTTTCACAAATTATTTTTTTGGTTTCTGAAATGTTATGTTTAAATAACAACAACATACATCTCCAGAACAGAAATCTTAAAATTAGATAAAGCAGGTTCACAATTCTTGTTTCATTATGTTGACTTGATTTTACTATGAGTGAATATTTATTTTTATCATCCATAAATCAAAAAACAATTTTATGGAATAAAATGTAATATAAATCAGGCTGTGAATGATATCTTAACTAACTCCTCCTAATATAGAAAACTGGAAGGTTCGGTGTATGTAAGTGCTACTGAAGTGGAGATTTATGGCCCCCCAAAAAATGGAAAAAACTAATTTTGAGAAAAAGATGTTTTTGCAAACGTTTGCAGGACACTACAGGTGAATAGGGTAAAACCTACTGATATGAAGTGATTTACTTCCACTAAGGCAGTTATATTTTATGCAAATGCAAAATTATCTTATGCCAACATTTGGTGAATTCAGGAGATATCTGCAGACGCAAATAGACAAAATGTAGTCAAATAAACACTGACATTTTGGGCGTTTTCTTTCCACTTGCCTGAAAGAAGATGTGCTATTGAAGCAAAATAGCCCAAAATCGAAAAATGGACCAGTGTCTCACCTGTGGGAAAATTAGACAAGATAATGATATTTCATCTGTGAACTATCTGCACCTTAAAATCACTATTGTGTTATTAATGTAAAAACAAGTTTCTACTCTTAAGGAACAGAATAAAATAGACACATATTTATGGGGAAACTTTGCAATTTGTTTTCTAAATGTAAATGTGCAATTTATTGTGCAAATTCTATGTGCAGCTAATCAACTTTTTTGACGTTTGCTTTATTTTCTTTTTCAGTACAAAGTGGTGGAACTCCAGGTAAGATTCACTACAAGTGATTGTATGACAGCCTGCACAGCACCTCTGCTGCTAGACCAGTTATTGGACTACAAAAAATGACATGGAAATGACCATCAGAGCATTGTTAGCATTGTACACACCTCCAACCCATAACACAAATTCGCTAACTAATGGTCACGTATGGCTGTATATGATGAGAAGGGTAAGCTAGCTAGTCATCCAGAATAACATCTGATGGATACAACTATGTCCCCGAGGACAGTATGTTTATCCTAATATTGATTTCTCCCCAAATCAATATCAAAATGACAAACCTATTGTCAAAAAACATGTTGTCAACCGTACGCAGTGTTATTGACTCTGAATCTAGCTAGCGTAACGTTAGCTCTCTGGTTATACTGCGCGTCGCACTGTTCACGTCGTCCATTCATTTCTGATAATGGACACCTCGTTGCGCATTATCCCTTACTTAACTTGTGCGACCCCTAGTGGTAGTACCAAAAAAGATACCGTGGAATCAAAGGACACTGAGATGAATGGGCTGGAAGTTGCACATAGCCCGCACTAATTGTCACCTGTATTATGTATTATGTCCTTTTTCTACAAACAAAACCAGAATAATTTGAAAGATGTTATGGTTACATATAAATTCTACATCTAGAGGAATGGAATATGATCTATGTTGCCTTATTTCAGAGGATAAAACACGAAGTTGCTCTTTTGTGCTCCCATGCTATGTAACAGTCCATCAACCTATGAATGGTGTATTTGTTTCTTCCTGTTGAAATTCAGTGTCTTATGCTGGTCACCTGCAGCAGATCGCATTAGCTCTGAACTCAGCCTTCAGTGAATGTGCCTTTTTCTTTTTGCAGGATCCCAATTCAAATCGCATTGCACAGTGGTTGGATAAGTCCATTGTTAGTGGTATCCTTGATCTTTCCCACCCCATGATTCCTGAGGCGGCACAAGGAAGCTACACGATCACCGCCTTCACAAACAAAGGAGAAAAAGTATCCCACAGCTTTGACATCAAGGAATACGGTCAGTTACAGCCTTAAAAAAAAAAAAAAAAAAAAGTCTCACATTTGCCAAAATAAGGTTGTGTTTGATCTCTGTTCTATTTGAATTCTGTTTCTTTAGTTTTGCCAAAGTATGAAGTTAACGTTCACCTACCCAGTGTGATCACCATTCTGGACCAAGAGGCAACGCTAAAGATCTGTGGAAAGTGAGTGTCCCACTTAAACAGTGCTGTCGGACAGACCAATGTGTTTATTTAACATAAGTAGTTTATTAAAGTATTCCTGTATAACGAAGGTGTATGCGGCTATATTTTTCTATTTTCTTGAGACCACATAGAGCACTGGCATCTGAGGGCCAGCACTTCCAGGAAGCACATTGTCAGCTTCCATTGTGCGCTAATGTCTGAGACCGTCAAACTGTGGGCAATATATTAACACACATTAGGTATCAATATAACAAAATACCTTCACTGGCTGCCCACATAGATATTGCACCAATTAAATTGCCCCTGGGGGACTTTTATGTATGGGGCGCTATAACACTGGAAAAATAAATACTGGTACAATCTAAAATGAATGTTGTATGGCCAGTACAAAACCTCAAGGATATCGAATCTACTGATTTCTTAGCCAAGTAGTCTATGGTGTCATCCACATCTGCCATGATGGATATTCATGCCATGTTCTGTTGCTTTTTCAGTCAATACTGCGCTTGCTCTCTATGAAAATGAAACTGAAATTGTTCTCCACTTAACACCTGCCCTTTATGACCACCTCCTAAAAAAAACAACAACCCATCTCTCTGTATCGTTGTTTCTTCTGCAGATACACCTATGGGAAACCAGTTGTTGGTTCAGTGAAAGCTGTGTTTTGTAGAAATGCCATGAGGTTTTATTGGTATTCACGTTCCCAAGAAAGTGACCTCTGCAAGACGTATGAACTGACAGTGAGTGTTCCAGATAAAGAAAGTAACGATTTGCTGCTGTCACAGTTCTTTCACTAATTTTGTTTGAACTTGGCCATTGTTATTATCTCCTAGACGGATAAAAGTGGTTGTGCTACACAAATTGTGAACTTGACGGAGTTTTCCCTCAACAAGAGCATGTACGATGACCATTTCGATGTGAATGCTGAAATGGAGGAATATGGAACAGGTAGGTTGACTGAATACCGCATACTATTCATTAAGTAATCTAAGTCTAATTAAGTCTCTGATGAGCTGTGATGTGTGTTTGCTACTACCTAGGGGTCATTCTTAAAGGCAGTGGGCGGACCAGCTTCAGCAGTCACATCAGGACTGTAACCTTTGAGGATGTACCTGCAGCTTACAAGCTTGGCATCCCATTCGAGGGAAAGGTGACCACTGGGAGCTATAGTCTGCTGTCAGATTTTTTTTTTTTATCCATGCCAGTGGTGTGGCTCTGGGATGACAATTCGGGCTGGCTGTTGGCAATCTAGTGATTCCATATGTATCACGATACAGGGGTTATGATTCAATATTTTGGATATTGTAAGGCAATAGTTTGCTTTTTTTAAATCTAATTTTAGGAAAACTGTCATTGTATAAAGAACGCACCATCATATGCATAAAATCTGAGTTTTATGCAAACAGAACAGTGGGATCTACATTTATATTTATTACTGTCCCTTTAACATCCAACATCATAGCCCTTATAGATCAGTTGCAACTGTTTTCCAAGCAAAGTAAGTGCACAATTTATTACTATTAAAGCAGTAACAGTTAAAAGCAGCTTCATCATTGTACAAGTATATTTACAGCCGTAAAACGTACCTGTGTAACATTAGCTAAGTTAGCGGTGCCTGGTAGAGTGTCTGGCTACGACTACGTAGCAGGCCACAGTCAGCAAAGTCAAGACGTTGGTCTTGTAGAAGCAGGGGTTGGTTGGTAATTAAATCTGCCACTTCATCTGTCTCCAGATCAGCCACTAGCAAAATTCGAGGGGGCAGTCGCTATGCATTTTTATTTAAAAAAATGGAGACGAATAAATACTTTGATTCAGGTCTGGACATTTTAGTGCAATCAACAACACTAGTAAATAGCCATATACAGTGGTTTTCACTATTTAAAGCATTCAGGTGGTTTTTCATGCTTGTTGTGCCAATGTGGTAGGCCAGTTTTAAATGGCATATTTGGTCTCATCATCACTCATTTTAAAGTGTTCCCACACACAGCTGAGGAATGCTGAATACCTACCAAACAAACAAATGTCTGAATAGTCGAAAATTCAGGTCCAGCCATAGCTCACCACAGGATTAACCCTTTACAGTTTGGAGACTCATTATCTCGAATCACAAAAATGTCCCCCACGGGGGATCAATGAAGGACCATCTTATCTTATCTTTCTATCTTATATTTTTGAACACATTCATACTCCCAGAGGGATTTAACCCCTTTAGCCTTACATATTTAATGACCAGCACAATCATTAGTATGCTGGGGAATAATCAACTTTTAGTCGCAAAGATTTTAAAAGTCTGTGGTTCAGCTTCTGCTTTCTGACTTGTTTCCAGGTCAAAATGACCGGTCCAGACAGCAAACCCGTCGCCAATGAGGCAGTGTACCTGTTTGTCGGTGACTCTCAGAACTTAACGCTGACTACAGACATGAAAGGCATGGCTTCATTTTCTTTGGACACGGCCCTCTGGACGGAAACTGTGATTCTAAAGGTTGGTCACTGCTTGTCAGAGCTTTCAATGGAGTTCAAGGGCTTCCTATTAGCAACCAGTTCATTATTTTATAAAGTATACAGTCAATATCTAATTAAAGAAACTTTCCATCATATCGATCATGTTGGAGGTGATTAAATGAATCTGTTTTTTAGAACTGGTGTCATGTTAGTTCATATTTAAAGAATTATAGGTTGATAAGTGAAGGTTGTTGAGTGAAGGTTTGACCTTTTGACCTGTGGCTATTGTGTCAACAGGCAAGGTCTAGAAAGACTGAGGAGAACGAGCCGTATGTGGCCAATTTGCGTAAGCCAGAGTACAAGTCGGCCTACCACCAAGCTGCAGCATTTTACTCCAAGAGCAGTAGCTTTTTGAAGCTCATGCAGGTCAACGGGAAACTCTCCTGTGACAAAGATGCGACTGTCCGTGCTCAGTACATCATCCAGGGGGAGGAGCTGAAAAAGGGACAGGAAGTCCTCGACTTCTTTTACCTGGTAAGATTCACGTGATTGGTGAGCTACTGTTTTACCACTCAACTGGTACTGTGCAGGTGAACCTCAGCCCAGTGGTCCAGTCTGTATCTTGACACCGTTGCTCTAGTGAGACAATGGAGCAATATCCTGCTGATTATTTACATTTTTAGACGTGGCTATGGCTATCTAAAGTTTCTGGGAGCGCTGTGGTATTGAAGTATGTTTTATTTCTTCTGATTTTATTTAAAAATCACATCACAGACACTTATGAGTAGTTGGAACTGATGTTAGATGTTAAAAAAGAAAACCCCTAGATCATACATCTTCCTTTGGGATGGGACGATAAACGATATTATCTTTTTAGAATATATTTTCTAATGTTTCCAGTATGTTTGTGTGCCATTTTAAGATTTTTGAGCATGTTTTGATGACTATTTGAATAATATCATGAAAAAATGTTCCTGCCACGCCTACATTATATTACCATTTAGTTGCATTCAATTGCTCCGTTGACTCAGTCTCTGAAAAGGTTTTTTGCACAAAGGACGTGGACCTAATTGTGTACCTAACTGTACACTAAGCGTATAAAATGGATCCAGAATTCTTCACGCTATTGTGTGAAAAACACATTTAATTTGTCTGCCTGTGTTATGTTTCTTTGTAGGTGATGTCCAGAGGTGGAATAGTGCAGCACGGTCACGTCCCACTGGCTGTTAAAGCAGGAACTGGTAAAAAAAACAATCTAGAGATCTAAAATCTAAGATGGCTATTTTAAAGGATAAGTCTGGTGATAGTCCGTATTTCTCTTATTGTCATCAAATCCAAGGAATTTCTTTCAATCAATAGGCTATACATGTACCATGAACACAGCTATTGCTGTTAACTGTGGTCAACCCCACATACAACATCCTGCTGCTGTGTTTTAAAAAAGAAAAAAAAAAAAAAAAAAAAAACTGTTTCTGTGGTTCTGGCTTGGTTGGGTCGCACAGAATTTCTTCAGGTTCAAGGCGGGCCTTCTCTGGGCATTATCAAAGCTCTATGCTAGACTACCAGATAAACACATAGAGAATTATTTTACATTATTCCTGTTTATGGCCCACTGCTGTTTTGGTTCACTCTAACCACAGCAGGTAGCCATTTGAAAAAGACACAGTTAGTAACTAGCTGGTGAACACAGTGGCTACTAGCACCGCTACTGAGGTTCGGCTTGGTCAGGACGTAATGTGTGACGTACATTTTATTTTATTTTAGTTTTCTTTAATCTGTGTGTAATGGCTTCACATTTTTACAATTGGAATCGTGTCAGGCAGTGATAAATAAAAATGTTATCTTTTCCATATGATTTTTGTCAAAGCCACCGGGGACCAAAGGAGAGGGGCTAATTATTATTTAACTGCTGGTGGCCAACAACAAGTAGCTAACTTGTGGCTTATATTTCACAACCTCAATCGGTTTGTTTCCAGCAGGGGACCTTTGTTACAAGTCCCCTTTCTTTCACTGGATTTCCTGTTCATCTCTGCATCGTCTATCCAATAAAATGCAAAAATGGCCAAGAAATAATCTTAAAGTAGCTTCCTAGCTCAGCTTCAGGCTAATGTACATACCTACATTAGCTTCATGCTAGCCTAGCAGATTATTATTTGCCCATGTGCAGTAAAGTTTGCTGTTTAAGTATAATACATGATTATATTAGCTAAATGAGTATATTTTTTATAATTTTTGTTAATGTATTTTGATTAATAAAGGTTAATAAATGTCACATTTCCTTCTGTCTGTGTTTCTGCCTCAGTCAACAAAGGAGAGTTGTCCATATCACTCCGTCAGGTTACAAACCTGGCACCGTTTGCCCAAGTGGTAGTTTACACTGTGATGCCCAGTGGAGAGGCTGTGGCTGATAGCCAGGACTTCCCCATTCAACTCTGCCTCAATAACAAGGTACCACCCCATAGACCCATTGGGACTCTTTATAACGTAAAGCTACAAGAAATGAGTCTTTTAGATATACAATGAAATGTGAGGACATATCCATTTTAGATTATTTTAAGTCTCATACTAATACTTCTTCTAATAAGCTTTCAAACCAATGACTTTCCTCTTCGGTGTCTCCTGTTCAGGTGTCCATGAGGTTCTCCTCCCTCCAGCATCTTCCGGCAGAGAACACCATGCTCGCTCTCAAGGCTCACCCAGGCTCTATGTGCTCGGTCAGAGCCATCGACCAGAGCGTCCTCCTGCTACAGTCAGAGCAGGAGCTCACTGTTGACTATGTACGACACCGATCTTCAGTGCTAATCTGAACAATGTTAACCTGCTGTACCTTTACCAGCATCTGAACAGGGTGTTTTCATTGTAAAAAGCACAAAGCCTTGCTTTAGAGATGAGAGCAGTGGTAATATAATACTATTATATATGTATTTATTTACAAAATATAGTGTGCACTGGCACAGTTATTTGCATTAAAAGCATCATTTTGTAGACCATCATATAGGTGACGTGCTGGCCTGTACCTGCTGCCTATACTGATGACTTACCCACTCCCATGTTACACGTGTGTGTGTTTTTGTGCAGGTGTACAGCCAGCTGCCTTTGCAGAAGCTGTCAGGATACAACTATGAGGTTGAAGACTTTGAGCCATATCCCTGCTTCCCTGTGCCAATGCCAGAGCCCGGGCCCGAGCCCGAGCCAGAGCCCGAGCCAGAGCTGGAGCCAGAGCTGGAGCTTGAGCCTGAACCAGAAGTCGAGCCAGAACCGGAGATTGTGGTTGACATTGATGCAGCTGGTCGAAAAAAACGCTCCATCTACTTTAGACCGCCCAATCAGAAGAATGATGTCTACAACATCTTTAAAGTAGAAAATTGCTCATTTTTATCATTTTGACGACAGGAGCTGATCTCTGTCTAGCTAGCGAGCTATGATTACCACTGACTTTCTAGTGTAGCTTTCAAGTAGGATTGGCTAGGTGGCCATGCTCATCAGGAAACCCATAGAAAGCTCATAGGACAATACTTTATATGTAGTATAAATGGCGACAAAGTCCAAGTTTACCCAGGTAGTAGCGGTGGATGAATGGGTTAAAGACAGGACCTGTTAATTAGTTGACTTATTATTTTAATTTAGTTTATCTTCAGTTGTCAGTCGCAGTTTGGTTAGGTTTAGGCAGGGAAACCTCTCGGTTATCTTTAAGGCTGATTTATAGTTGTATGTCAGCTGTTTGTCGAGCCTACACTGTACTGGGACAACACCGTACTTGCAGCATTCCTAAACCGAAGTTTTATTGCCTAAAGGCTTATTTATACTTCTGTATCAAGTCAATGTTAGCAACATGTTAGAAAGCCTTTCTGGCTTAAAACTGACAGAACAAACATGGATACCTGGCCAATCCTAGCACTTGAATACAGTACACAGGATATGTATTATCCATGAAATGGGCTGAACTGCTGTCCATCTCTACGTCTATCTCTCTGTCGCTTTATCTATATTTATCTACCGTATCTATCTCTCTTTATATCAATCTATCTCTATCTGTCTCTATCCAGTTGCTCCAGGTTTTTGTAGGCTTTTTTTTGGGATTGTTACGACCTTAAATGCCTAGTGGGAACCACCTTCCTATACCACTCTCAATAAGTTTGTGAAACAATCGTCTATGCCAAATAGTATCAAAATCTTTTTGGAAATCAATAAAATGGGCATACATTTTGGTTTTATTTTTTGTTTATATGTTTATCAATTTGACTATGCAGGGTGTAAATATGATTGGTTGTGCAGTGTTTAATATAAATCCAATTTGCTCAAGACATTGTGCTTGGTAAGGAAGTTCATTAGTCTGGCATTCATAATACTACATAAAACTTTCCCCGCGTTACTGTTCACACAAATGGCTCAGTAATTATTAGGGTCAAATCTGTCTCTGTTTTTAAATGTGGACTTGTATTATAAGTCCATGATTCCTGATTTCAGGAAAATAACATACACTCAGAATCAAATTAAATATTTTTGTTATAGCCAATTGGAATTTCTCAAAAAATCTATCTCAATCTGTCTCTATCGCTATATCTGTTCTATATCTATGCAGCTCTATCTCTATATATCTCTCTAGATCTATCTATCTGTCTTTATAATAGATTTATAATGATATACAATAAATAATCTATAATTGTCATTTAAATTGTATAGTTCTGTTTAGGTATATACCGTAAAACTTAAATTAAAGCAGGGTCCCAATTAGGGGCAGGTCCCCTCTACCAGCCTGAGGTGGCTACATGTTTTGACAAATAATAGCAGGTCTCAATTAGAGGCCTGATTCTTTGGATGTATAAAACCTCCTAAAACCCACTGGGCTGCCTGCTTGAGTGAGTTCTAAGCTGCTGAAATCACCTACACATGTTTTATCAATATGGACATGCTACACGTGGTTATCAGTTAGATTCACTACAGTTCAGTTGTTCATTTTACAGAAACAATGAGCAGTAAAATATCAAATGATCAAATGAAAGATTTGAAATTGATATGTTATTTGCTAGCCTAATTTTTTTTAATATTCATGCTGGTTTAAATAAACAATTTGATAACATTTCTCATCTTTGCTGAACAAGAGTTTTGTGCAAAACAAATGAAAGGCCTGTTTCTTATAGAGGCCTGACCAAAATAAAGGGTTCAGTGATTAGAGCAAATAACAGCCTAGGCTATTAATTGAAGTTTTACGGTAGTTTCATTCTGTGTGTTCATCAGGTGACTAAATCATTTACAATATGTGATTCACAGTCTCTTACTTGGTTTAATCGTCTCTCTCTATCTTCCCTCCTAGGAAATCGGAATCAAAATTGTGACCAACTCTGATGTGAAAAAACCTTATAACTGCCTTGAAAGGAAATATGATTTAATTTACTATGACGGTATGGTACACACTGAAATTTAACCTCATAAACTACAGACATATAAGAAACTCTTACTGTTGAAGCATCACATACATATTTAAATGCAATGATTCTCCCACATCTTTTCTATTGCATGACAAGTTGGTCTCAGGCATGTAAAACAGCCTTAAAACCACTTGAATCATTATATAAAAGTGCCCTTAAGATTCACGACAAAAAAAACACGTCAGTATCATCACTGTCATATACTCACCAAATATTGTATTTTAAATCTTGAAAATCTCTCTACCCAATCAGTTATCATGGGAGAGTGCAGTACTACAGGCGGTAAATCATCTTTTTCTTTTGTTGCCACAAATCAATGGAACACACTACCAATAGAGCTGATTACATGTGTGGATTTTAAAACATTTTCATGTCACACAAAATGTTGGATGAAGTTGGCGGGTAAATTGTTTTAAATTGTTTTAAATTGTTTTAATGATGTGGGAATGTGGGTATTCATAACTTCGTAATTGAAATTTTGCACAAATGGAGCAAAGCTAGTTCAGGCAGTCAACTCGAGCTGCGCTGATTACGCGCATGACATGCCTTATTCCATAATCAATAACCAAGTGCACCCTTCCAATCTGGCGGTCTATTTAAACTGCACAATTTCCCAGCTCTCCCTCTGCTCTGTCAATCCCGCTGTTGCCCTGCATCCGTATTGCTGCTGCTGCTGCTCTGTAAGCTATTGCTGCCTACTGTGAGAGCCACCTATAGGCTCCGACTGGGGTTTAAGGTATTTGCTCATCACTCCCCAATATCTCTATGTAAACATATCTGCGGGGAGTGATGAGGTCGGAGCCTAGACGCCAAATTCTAAATACGCTATACTACTGTAATAAACATTTCAAAGGTGTGTTGGCTGACTGAACTGTGAATTTAGTAACTGATTTAATTTATTATATGTTCCACCTACCTGCCCAGGGACTAGGGGTGGAAAATAGCAACTTGCTAAAACCCGGTGTTATATACAGGGTTAATGTTTTATTGTGCACTGTCCCTGTTCAAATAAAAGAAGTAATAATAATAATAATAATAATAATAATAATAAGTAATGTTTTATGGTTTGCCACTGAAACTGTCCATTGACTCCACTGTCCATTGATATTAAACCTAGAACAAGACACTACCATTATACTGTAAACTTTATGTAGCAGTGCCAATTTTACTGCATGGCAAAATACTGTTCCAAGACTTCGAGCACAAGGGGGTCCAATTGGAATGACCAAGGACACTATTAGAACATATTTCCCTGACACCTGGATCTGGGAGCTGTTTAGTTGTGTAATTGAATTATTCTGCTTTTTATCTATGTTTTCTTAGATGCCGTTGACTCTCCGGTTCCCATGGCCTTCAACATGATGCCTCAGGGTTCAAGTGGCGCGCTGAGAGGTAAAGAGGAGGAGAAGAAGGAGACCGTCAGGACATTCTTTCCTGAGACCTGGATCTGGGACCTAGTTACTGTGGGGTAATAATGATATATCCTGTGAAAAGGATCAACACATTACATTTATTTTCAACACTGAGTATGGCAAAAGTCAAAATGAGATTATTTTTACTCATGTCAAATCACTGATCCCTTCCAATTCTGATTTGGGCCACTTTCAGTTGTGGGTAGCCCATGACATTATGAAATTTTGAATGAAATCTGTTGATGTGTGTTAATTAACGCATCGCTCTCTCACGTTCTTGCTGGGAGGAGCTAAGACGCGAGGAAAGTATAATGAAAAGCCCCCAAAATCCCTAGAGGACGGAGCTTTCCTCTTGCGCCCCACCCAGAATCCAAAAACACAAGATATCTAATCCTGTATTAACACAGATTGCATGCATACTCGTGTTTTCACCCACAAAACTTTATGATTAACTCTATGCTGCTTGAAGTTTTCTCAGTTTGACTCTCGCTTTGTATGTCTGTACAGAGACAGCGGGTCAGTGATAGTGGAAAAGACAGTCCCCGACACCATCACGAAGTGGACAGCTGGAGCTTTTTGCGTGTCCTCCGTGGGCTTCGGCGTGTCTCCCAACATTGGACTGACCGCCTTCCAGCCATTTTTTGTCAGCCTCACCTTGCCCTACTCTGTCATCCGAGGGGAGGTGTTCACACTCAAAGCCACTGTCTTCAACTATCTCTCCAAATGCATTATGGTACATTTTTAAGGTCTTACAGATAGGATTTATTTAAATGGATTCACCAGTGTGATGTCTGTGGGTAGCATTCCTTTGACTCACACTAGGCTGTTGTTCCAGTGAAATTATATGAAGCTGAATTAATTTTTTGAAAAAGTTTTTTTTACGTTGCATTTGTTTCCAAAGTTGTGTTGTTTCTGTCTGCAGGTGAAGATTACACTGGCTGATTCAGACCAGTACACCTTCAGAGACTGTGAAGGCTGCCAGTACAGTGTGTGCCTGTGTGGGGAGGAGAGCAGGACCTTCTCATGGATTGTAACTCCAACTGCCCTAGGTATTTAATTTCCTCTTACATCTTTTTTTTTTTTCTGTTTTGTATATGACACATTGGGCCTCATGCAGCAGCATTAATATATTAATAGATATGTTAAGAAGCTGAAAACATGCAATATCCTCAAAGGGTTTTTATAGTTTTAATAGTGATCAATGGAGCAATAGTATTTCTTTAGCCCACACATTTAATAATCCAATTGCTACAATTGCTCTAAAACATATAATTTAATCTCATTATATGATTATATTATATATTTTTTGCAGTTTTTTATGCTTAAATTTAAAACCTACATTTCCTTGCATTGAACAAACAGTTTGTGGACTGTGAAAGCAAGATTCTTTTTTACTGGTAGGAGTGCTCGTAAAATGTTCTCTTACCTAAGAGAAGAGCAAAAATTAGAACACATTGGCGAATCCCAGAAATCAATGGGTACTAACAAAATAATAACAAATCATAGATAAGAACAAAAATAAGAGAATAGATTTGTTGTTGAAAATTGTTTCTTGCATGAGGCCCGCTGTAAGATTACATACTGTGTGGTCTGTGGAAAGAGCTTAATTCTTTTGACTGAACAGGAATATCAGTGTGACTTAGATAATTGTTACTTTGCCGTTTCAATAGGAAATTTATAGTTGACGCCAGTGTTGTTGCACTTTTCAGCCCGTTATTTGTTATTTATGCGTGGTAATGAAGCTGTGAGTGCAGTGGTGGTTACTAAGTACTGTGTTGATGTTACTTATACTTGAATATTTATTTTTACTTTTACTATAGTTCAGAGGAAATTGTATAGTGTAAAATTAATTAACAGCCCATTCTGAGTTCGTATACAATAACAGATAACTTAGGTGGTTGAATAGATGGAGATAATGGTGAACTCGCTCACCCAGAGTACTCCCGCCTCATCATTAATGGTTAAAAACTTGCAAAAACACTGGTATGGTCCCAGTAATGCGTTAATGTTTAGAGGCTTTTCAAGCAGAGACAGAAGAAAGGCTAACTATAAGACATTAATCTTAAAAACAATCTAATTTTGATAGCTCCACTCCGAAAATGTGCATCATCGTCTTTCAAAAATAGATTGAACGTCATCTCAGACAGCTTCAACCCCTCCTTCCATCCTCATTACCCAAAGAAAACCTACAATTGACAGCTTTTGCTTTCACTAATGATATAATGCAATCCTCACATCTTTGTAATTAAACACTGATGTTTGTTCCGTCCAATACCAAACTTGCACTCTCAGTGACAAAGATAAGACAGAACAAGCTAATTAATGTGTATTAATGGCGCTGACAGCTGTTGCGTCTGCACTGCTGGAAGCAAAGAAAGGTTGCTGTTGTTGTAACGCTGTCTGGCCTGAAAGCAGAGGATTTCTATCAGCCTCCATCAGCAGGGATGGAGACGAGGCTCTGATGAATGTCAAATTGCGCTCCTCTAACTCCCCCTTAGAGGAATGCTGACAATCACTTGTACTAACAAGTCAGGTAGTATCTCTGACGAAACACTCAGAAACCTCTCCCTCGGGGGGTGATCTGTACTTGTCCTCTGTGTGAAGGATTGTGGGCTGTGAAGGAAGGAAGGGAGGGGGTGGGAGATGGAGCAGTATGGGGGAGAGGCAGTATAATAAGGCAACAAATGGGGATTAATGAGGGTGAATAAGATAGGAAACAGGGGGAGGAAGGAAAACACAGAGAGGAGGGATGGAGGAACAGGGAGGATAATGAGTCGAATTGAAAAGCAGGCGGAAAAGCAGTTTTTGCCTCCGTACACAAAATGTGACAGTGTTGACAGCGAGCGGTAATCAATACAGCCCTGCTTTCAGAATAACACTGTATGTGTGCACGCAGGTCAGGTGAATCTGAAGGTCAGCGCAGAGGCCCTGAAGACCGACATACTGTGTGGCAACGACGTGGCCACCGTCCCCGACATGGGCCGAATCGACACAGTGATCCGCACCCTGCTGGTGGAGGTCAGTGAACACATCACCAAACATCACAAAATACAATGTTAGACTGACACTTATGCAGTATTGATCATTATTTCACTTTTGATACATTAAAACTGCAGTAGGTAACTTACATAAAAATAACAGATTTGTGCTCCCAATTGCAAGAATCCACCGGGTCTGAACAAAAACAACCAATCAGAGCCGAGAAAGATATAAAGACACTTTGGGTGGGAGGCTCGAAAATAGTTGGTTGTTGAGTCTCATTTCCAGTGTCCCAAAATGTCTGTATTTGACGCCCTGGGAATTAGACTCAACAATGAACAATTTTTCTCGCCTCCGATTGGTTTGTTTTCATTCGGGCCCGGTATCTGTCTCATGTTCTATGTCAGGATATAGTGAAATTTTAAGAAAATATAACAAAGGTTATTTTTATAAAAATAACCTACTGCAGCTTTTATTAGTTTTAATTGTATTAAAAATGCCACAAATGACAACATTGACTAAAAACACATTGATTGTTATCACTTTTCTTGGCATTTGAGAATTTGTAATCCAAGCATACAAAATATTTGAAATGTATTTTAACTAATGAATGTTTGTGAAATTAGATTTGTAACGCAATCTCTGCCATTAGTCCATAAAAAGCAAGTAAGTAAAACTTTACAGAGATTTTCAGAATTATAAATAAAAGAATATAAATATATACAAGTAAAATAAGAAAGAAAAAAATAATTTAATATCTATAAATGAGAAAATATGTTCCACGCGTTCACTTAAACATTCCAAATGTAAAGTAAAACTTTATTTATATAGCACTTAGAAAAACAACACAGTTACAAAGTGCTTCACACACACCCATGAAAAATATAAATGAAAAAGTAAAATAAATAAATTACAGTATAAAACACAGCACGATGAGAGACAGATGGAACTAAAAAATGGACCAAAACACAAGACGGGGATGCAGATCTGAGTGAGTGGGTAAGACTCCAGAGGATCGGGGCTGAAGCAGCGAAGGTGGAGATCACCTTTTTGTTTTGCAGTTTGAGGGGAGGAGGGATGAAAGGCCGGAATTTGAGGATTGGAGTGGAATGAGGAACAAGGGGATCATAAATGTAACTGTAGATAAGGTCATGCACTGCCTTTATATTATATGTAATCAGCAAGGTCTTGTTGCATCCCTCCATTCTAGTAAATATCCTGGCAGCTGCATTTAAAAAAAAAAAAAAGTCACTTATCTGTGTTTAATAAGGACATTTATACTATTTTGTTTCTGTGAAAAATGTGAAAGTAACCGTTAACATACAGTAAACGCACCCTCACTGTGTTTGAACTTATGTTTTGCCCCTGGTTGCCTGGTCTGTTGTGTTATCTGTTTTGAATTATTTTGCAGTCTGTTATACCAAAAGCAATAGAATTAAGTTCTAAATAAATGAATCAGAAAAGTCCCATATCATAAGTAAAAATGCCCACATACTGACAAAAAGGAATCCGAAAGAATGTGCACAAGGTGGCAAAATGTGAAATTATAAACCATCGTCAGCAGAACCTTCATGACCATGTGTGGGTTTTTTTGTTTGCATCTGAAAAAAATCTCCTTTTGTCAAATGTATCAGCTCGTTATTATCCGCTGACAGTCATCTATAAACCCTCTCTGTGGCACATTTGTCCCCGCTGAACTAGACTCCTATGTATTGTTTAAAAAGAATCAGTAATGTCCTTCTACAGCTGACCACTGTAGTTACTCAAACAGGAGGAAAGAATGTGTTTTGACGGTGGATGAATCCTTATTTGGTGTTTTAGCAAGTGTTTGGGCCTGTGTGTGTGTGTGTGTGTGTGTGTGTGTGTGTGTGTGTGTGTGTGTCACAGTGCAACTGTGGCTCACTGATGTGTTTTTAATAGGAGCACTGGAGCTCTGTGACACAGAGAAATAAGATCTATCAGGCTTTAGATACACACTCAATACTTAGTTGCTAGGACTTGTTACATTGCCTTTTAATAAACCAATTTCATTCACTAATATCACTCTCTCTGTGTCTCTCCACTAGGCTGAAGGAACACCACAGATGGTCAGTCATAACGCTCTCCTCTGCCCTGCAGGTGAGTGTTCACAAACAACCCATGTATCAGTGTCTGTTAACTGAAAGCCTCGGGGTGAACGGCCATCTTGATCCTCTCAGTCAGAACAGACTGAAAACTTGATAAACACTCTTTAACCGTCATTCTGTCATACAGACCTGTGTCTGGCCAGTAATAATCAATCGTCCCGTACTGAACCTCTGACCCAGTCATTACTGTTAAGAGACCTTTGTGTTTGTCAGATGGGAGATAAGTATGAATGGATGGTTGTAGTAATTATCCACCATGTCAGAACAGACGCTGTCATTTGGTTTTAAAATGTGTTGATATTTTTTATTGTTTTGGCCCGTGTCCAATCCGCTAACATGGAAGGGGTGGGGTTTATGACCTATACTGCAGCCAGCCACCAGGGGGCCATCCAGATGTTTTGGCTTCATTTTTGGGGAGCTGTTATGTCGTCCATTTATACATGGATTCATGCATTCAACAGGAAAAAAACATCACTTTGTTATTGTTTAAATCATACATCATTGATAACCCATAACAAAGCCAGAAAACCCTTAGCTTAGTTTAGCATAGCATAAAGACTGGAAACGGCTAGCCTGTTTGTGTCCAACAGTATAAAATCCACCTACTCTTACCTCTGAAGCTCATTGATGAACATTAATGAACATAATTTGAACAAAAACAGAAGTTTGGTTTTACGAGTGGTTACGTGCTAAGCTAATCAGCTGCTAGCTGTAGCTTCATATTTACTGTACAGACATGGGAGTGGTATCGATCTTCTCCTCTAGCTGTCAGAAAGAAAGTGAATAAGTCTATTTCCCAAACTGTGAAACTGTTCTTGAAATGCTCTCCTTCGTGTGTCATTTATGTGCCTTGTCTTCTGCTCTCCGTGTTGCCAGAGGGGCCTGTGGTGAAGAAAATCTCTCTTCTGATGCCTGAGATGTTTGTGGCTGGGTCAGCCAGGGCCTCCGTCTCTGTACTGGGTTAGTGACACTATTTGGACCCCCTGAAGTGTCTGTCTTCTGTATTTTAACCTTCAAACCTGCTCAGAATCAAATCTTCACATCTTGCAGAATGTGATCTTGGAGTCTGTCTTGTCTTTCTCCGGTTGTTTCTGCAGGTGACCTGATGGGCCGGGCCATGAAGAACCTCGACAAGCTCCTGGCCATGCCGTACGGCTGCGGGGAGCAGAACATGGTGCTGTTTGCTCCCAACATCTTCATCCTCAATTACCTAAAAAGCACAGGTCAGCTGACCACAGAGATTCAGGACAAAGCAACACGTTTCCTGGAGAGCGGTGAGTAGTTCTGTCCCCTCTGTGACTGAGAATGAATGTGAGAGAGAAACATCAAATATACAGCCCCTCTGCAGTGAAAGAAGTAATGAAATGAATGAGTAGGCTGGCTGTGTTCGGACAGGGTCATCCGGCAACAAGAGGGAGCTTGGCTCAAGGCTAGGACTGCAACCAGCTATTATTTTCATTATCGATTAATCTGTCGATCATTTTCTCGATTAATCGATAAGTTGTTTGGTCCATAAAATGTCAGAAAGAAGTAAAAAATGGTGATCAGTGTTTCCCAAATATCTTGCCTTGTCCACAACCCAAAGAAAGTTAGAGAGAGGACTGAAAAAAACAGACAATATTGCTGTAATCAGAACATTTTGAAATTTTTCTCTCTCAAAATTGTTAATCAATTATCAAAATAGTTGTCAATCCATTGAATAGCTGACAACTAATCAATTATTGAATAATCTTTGCAGCTCTACATCCAGTCAAATACTTTCAAGTGGGTGTATGTAACATGAACACCTTATTTTTTCCACTGTTTACCTCACATTTATCTCGTTAAAAGTCGGTAAAGCTAAAGTAACTCTCCAAAGTTGTAAAGTCTTGTTGCATAGTGTTATTATAAACTGCTGTGCTGTGTTCTGACATCTGATAAGCCTTCAGTCTCTTGGAGCTCTTATTTAAACCAGGCTTGCAGGGTTGTACAACAATGAAGCTCCTTACATTATGTTAAGGCAGTGCTGTTTTCTGTCTGTCTGCACAGAGTCAATTTTCTGTAAATTGATGTTTTGGTTGTTGTAGGATATCAGCGGGAGCTTACCTACAAGCATGATGACGGTTCCTACAGTGCCTTTGGGAAGAGTGACGACTCTGGAAACACCTGGTCAGTAAACTTGCCCCAGTAACATGAGTGGATGATGCTCAGGATGCAAACACTAGGTAATGGCCAGGAGTAATTGAGTTCTGCAGGAAGGAGTCCTAAAACCCAGATATGAATTAGCATTTTAGCAGGTTCCCTTGCGCCCAAGTCAGTGTGTTCTTTGAATGGGCTTTTGGTTAGACGCCTGAAATAAGGTCTGTGGTTAACAGTAGCTTAAGAGATTTTCATGTTTTGTTCTCAGCACAAACCCCAAATGTAAAGTTTCTACGTGTGTTACAAAACTTGAGGGTGTGCATTTTGGAAAACATACAAGAACCAAACTAATATGAATAATAGAGTATGTTCATCATTATATAACTCATAATGTATCAGAGTTGCATCATTTGCTGTTAAACTGTGAATATTTTCAGCTCAAATCTCACACTTCATTTGATGAGAGAATAAAAAAGACATGCAGACACAGTGGGAGGTGTTTGGCACCGGCAAGCGTCCTAATAATTTACTTTTATGGGGAACCTGCCAGAAAATATTAATATTTGCATTTAATGGGCTTAAAGCACAGTGCCTCGGGGGATTTAACAAAACCCTTTGCTGTTTGAAAGGGTGCTGGGCAGTTTGGCAGTTGGTGAGTGTGTGTGTGGGTGTGTGTTTTGTGGTTAGGAGAAACTAGGGCTTGCAAGTGTTCAGTTACATCAAAATCCTAACAGGAGATTTGATGGAATTGTCCAAATCACTTAAAATGAAACAAGGACTTTCTCTAAAGTGTGAGAATGTATTGATTTTTATTTAAAGCTGCACAAATCAATATTTTATATGAACAATGGCTCACAGGACTATGTGTAATGTGACAGGTGTCGGTTCTGGAGATGAACAACCCACAGCTTTTTAGCCTCTTGTACTTCACGGTTTTCAGGCCCCTAAACTCTGCTCTCATCGACCCCATTTCCAGTCGCAGCAGACTGCTTTGATGAGTCTACTCTACGCTACCTGCTCAGCACCAAACCACAGGCAAAGTTAGTGACTAGCTGGTGAATATAGTGGAGCATTTACCAGCTACAGAGCCAGCAAGTTTGTGGAGACCAAAACTAAAGCTAAAAGGAGAGTGAAGAAAGGAGGAAGTTGCCCGAGGCTTTCTAAACTGTTATTGGAGCACAGAGCAAAAATGGGCGGGGCTTAGGAAGGGTCAGTTAAGAGTATATGTGAATATATATTTTACTTTCCAGTAGACCTTTGCTGCCTCTCTTCAGCTCCATCTGTCTTCATTCTGCTCAGAGGAATATGATTGTTTAGTCGGGGATGCAGCTCAGACCAAGCGCTCTGTGTTCGTGTGAGACTTGAGGTTGTTATGTAATTGTCCTGAAGCTGGGTTCATTTTGGGGTTACCATCACAGACACACATGGTTGGGATTGTTTTCTAAAAAAACGTGTGTGTGTGTGTGTGTCCTTCTAGGCTGACCTCTTTTGTGATGAAGTCCTTCGGCGGGGCGAGACCATACATCTTCGTCCATAACAAGCACATTAAAGATGCCAAGAGGTGGCTGTCCAGAAACCAGCGCCCTGACGGCTGCATCCGATCTGTGGGGAAGCTCTTCCACAACGGCATGAAGGTAATGGCATCAGTTTGAACAGGGACATTTTAGAAGGGACTACCTGGTTTCCTATAAGACAAACTCACAGAATTGGCTCACTGTGAGGAGCAATTAGCTGTGTGTGTGTGTGTGTGTGTGTGTGTGTGTGTGTGTGTGTGTGTGTGTGTGTGTGTGTGTGTGTGTGTGTGTGTGTGTGTGTGTGTGTGTGTGTGTGTGTGTGTTGCCCTCATGGGCCTGCAGGCAAGCTGCGCTGGAAGAAATTTCCCAAACAAATTATTGCTAACCAGTCCCTCTCAAACTACAGCATCTCCTGAAGACTAACAGCAAAAAGCCATGACAACCACATGCACTAGCAGGGAGCAAGGTACCCATGTTCTATAAACAGCTGTGTATAAAAAAGCAAAGCTTTTCCAGGCACTAGTACAGGCCGAGTTCTGTGGACTAAAATTTGTAAATGGTAAAATACTACGAATTGATTGACAGTCTCAAGGTACGGGCTGCCAGATAAGGGTACAGGTCCAAGTTTCTGAGCCTTTCCTGATAATATTGGCTCTTTGGTACATGCTTGAATTGCGCAGTGGAGAACAGACAGGTGTGTGTGTTTCATCCTTGTGTTTATTTTCTCGGACAAGGAAAGAAGAAACAAGCTGAACTGTGCTCAGTCTTGTTCAGTTAAATTGAATCAAGAGTTTAATTGCCTCCAATCAGCCGTAACTCAATCCATTTTGCCACTCAGTGATGCTGTTGAGTTTCACACATTGTTCTATGTTAACAGAGCCTCAAACACATAATAATGAATATCTGTTGATGAAAAGAGTGTCCTGGTGGCCTTTGGGTTTAAGTTATAAACCTTGAATCGGGTTGATTAGCTTGATATATATGATATTTGTATGTCCAGTGCTGCTACTAATGACTATTTTCTTTATTGCTCAGTCTACTTAATATTTTTATGATGAATCTGTTGCTGCTCATCACAATTCCCCAGAGCCCAAAGTGACATCTTCAAAAAGCTTCACAAAGCCCAAAACAATTCTCAATTTTCTTTCTATTGATAAATAGACATTTTGTTTCAGCTCTATGTACGTCCCTCTTCATCCCCCTTCTCTCTCCCATCATTCTCACTTATAAAATCATTGCATTCCCCCAAAAATAAGAGACTGTGCCTGAATTGGACCAAAAACAGTGCCAGTTTCCTAATTTAGCACAACCCTAATGCAAAGCACAACATAACCCTAATTCTTGTGGGGTTTATCCTTTTTAACAAGGACATTCTCAATACTGTTTTTATTTAGGTTTTCAGTGATAGAAAACTTTTTTAAATTAAAAAAACAAAAAGCAAAAGCAAAAAACAGATGTGTGATATGTGAAGGTCCTACTACTACTGTCAGCGTTTTCTTAAACTAGCTGTGTTTACAGTAGTACCTCACCATCAAACTAGTTCTTTTTAGGCATTTCACAACTTCTGTTGTATACCCCTCGGAAAGTATACTGAGCTCCATACCATGGTGGCCTCACTAGAGGTGGTGGTACTCAATAAGAAGTAAGGGTACTCATGCAGACAAAATTCAGTGCCAGTACTCGGTACCAGTGACGGTTTCAAACTGTTATACTGTATTAACATTGTTACAGACTTTGAGCTTTGTAATGTAACATCTGGGAGAAGGTACAGCACAATAAGACCAGTAGGTTTGATAATAGGTAAAACAAACTTAACTAAAAACCCCTTAAAGTATTAATATATAGTCTACAGCATAACCGAAACAATTACACCTTAGATGTCACTGTTGTGTTCGCTGTGCTCCTGTTTCCGACAGGGAGGAGTGAGTGACGACGTGTCCCTGACGGCCTACATCACCGCCGCCCTGCTGGAGCTGGACGCCAACGTCACGGTGAGTCTGACGAAGCTCTCCTCCTCCTCCTCCTCAGACATGTTCACCTTGTACTCTGGAAAATGAAAGCTCACTTTAATATTCTCGGACTGCCAGCTATTCTCTGCAGCCAGGATCTCATGTTTGTGTTAAATAAATTTAGAGATCACAGAAAGAAATGCATGATCCATTGTTTCTGATTTTCTGTTGATTACATTTTTGATAAGTGATATAATATACTGAGTGCTGCCTCTCAGAGACGTCAGCATGTGTTCCTTAGTATCTCTTCAGCTTTATATAGTGTGTCTTGGGGCTGTATTTATCTGTGAGAATTGCCAAAACAAAGATTTCTTGCATACAACCTTAAAGCAGATCTGTTTTCTGTAAGCCTCCAGAGAAATACTTTCATTGTTGTTTCAGTTGCATTGTCTCATCTCTGTGTTGTCTCAGGACCCCATGGTACAGAGCTGCCTGAACTGTCTGAAGGAAGCCGTGGCCGGCCCGCTGGACAACCTGTACACCACCGCCCTGCTGTCCTACACCTTCACTCTGGCTGGAGACCAGGACACGAGGAGCAAACTCATCACGTACCTGCACCAGAAGTCCAACACACGGGGTGAGACAGTGACGCGTATACTTTATATTTAGTCACATCTAACTTAGCTAGCTAATGTTAGAAAAATGCTAGCTAACTGGCTAGCTAAACTACTTAAGTCATTAGCTAGCTAGTTACATCTGAAAGCTGTTGTTAGCAGGAAGCTAGGTCATTTCAGTCAATTGTTAATGTTAGCTAGCTAACTTCAGATGGTGCATTCTGTTTGAATTGGGAAGTCCGATTTTCCAAGTTTCTGGTCGGAAATGTCAACAGGAACGCCCCTAAAGTCGGATTCTAACTAGGAAACTCCTCAGCAAGCCCGACCTCAAAATCCAAGATGGCTGCTCCGTCACTAAGTGAGAGTTGAAGTGATCAGGGATCTATCACCTATAATACAGGTTGTTAGCAGGTCACCTTCCATGGAGTCCGCCATGTTAACCCACCATGTTTCTACAGTAGCCCAGAATGAACAAACCAAACACTGGCTCTTTATAGGACATTTAGCATTTTTCAAGAGTTTCGCGGCCACCGTAGTTTCAACTATACGCTTGGAAGTAGAGAGTGCAGCGAGGGAGTTGCAATCTGCACTGCTAGATGCCACTAAATCCTACACACTGGTCCTTTAAAGGTCGAGCTGAATGGATAGAAAGTGAAGCTGAGTGATTCGCACTCTAGCTTTGATTACGTACTGTATGTATTTTTGATGTTGTTGTCTGTTGTTTTTATTTACATTGTCCTGCCTGGGCTTCCTTTTTATTGTACTATTTGTGTTTTTATTAAATTGCCTATAGTGCTTACATTTCTACTGTCCTATCTAAAACAACACGACTGTTCTGACTGGCAGGTGGAACTCGTCACTGGGACAGAGCAGGGGCTTCTGGGAAAGGCTTGGACTCCCTGGAGGTGGAGATGACCTCCTACGTGCTGCTGGCCCTGCTCTCCGGTCCAGCCATGCCAGACTTTGGTCTGGATTACTCTTCCAGCATCGTCCGCTGGCTCGCTCAGCAGCAGAACCCGTACGGTGGCTTCTCTTCCACACAGGTAGCACATACCACACACACAGAGGGGGATTATGGGAAGCCTTTAACGCCCCCTAACTGTTTTTAATGACACATTTAACCTCCCTGCTCCTCAGGACACCGTGGTGGCCCTGCAGGCTCTGGCTAAGTACGGCGCTGCCACCTACAGCGCGGAGGGCAGCACTACAGTGACGGTGACGTCGTTGGGAGGCCTGAACAAGGAGTTCACGGTGGATCAGAGCAACAGGCTGCTGTACCAGGAGGAGAAGCTGAACGAGGTCCCCGGGGAGTACGCGGTCCAAGCCCAGGGACAGAGCTGCGTGCTGGCACAGGTACGACTAACGACAGGAAGAGCTCGAACGCCACAACATGTGGATTAGGAAAGTGTGACTGAACTGAAATAGGAGGGGCAAAGAAAAATGACTGGATTACTATGACTTCAAATATAAAAACAAAATCAAATGAGTGTTAAGATGTTGCTATGATACAGTTTATCAGTTTATGTTTGTGTGTTTTTTAAGCTCCTGCCATTGAGAGCCTAATCAATGAATATTGTAAATCAATATTACAGATTTACTGGTATCTGCAGCATGTTGAATTACAGAGCAGTAGACAAAAGCAACATGTTTGGCAGTATTTCATATATATTTGACTTTATTCATTTATTGTATTTATAGCTGTTTATTAAAATAATCAAACTTTAATGTGAACTCTAAAATGTAGGGTTATCTTCTATTAATTGCGACCGATATCTTTGATAAAGGTTTATTGCTCCACTGTAAATCATCTTTGCTCAAACTCAAAATGTTTGTTTATGTTTTTGTTTTATATTTTAAAAAGTCAGATTTTTCTTACTGGAAATCTACTATCAATCTGGCTGCGATCCTAACTGCTTCAGGGACTGCGAGCGCTTCATTAAACATGAATTAGCTTCAGTGAAACTCCTGATATTTGAATCCCTGCAGAACAATGTACACATCCACACTGTCAGTGAGTTCTGGGCTTATTCTACCCAGTGAACTACATGGAGCCGTGTAGGTGATTATCAGGGGTGGGTGTGTGAGAGTGAGAGTGAGAGAGAGTGAGAGAGAGAGAGAGAGTGAGAGAGAGAGATCATATTAGGGATGCACGATAACATTTTTTTTTTTAGCCAATAAGATAACCGATAATTTCACATTTTAGTATTTTTAAAAATAAATTCATAACCGTCAGTTTTTACACTCCTGAGGGCAGGAACGTCTGAGATATAGTGAGCAAAGATGGATGATTTAATATTCCATAACTCTGTTAACCAAATCTAACTGACATCCCTGCTGTTTACAACAACAACAAACAACAGTTCTGACTCATCAAATGTCTCATTTATTTTGTCTAGTACAGTTGGAGCCTGTCAATCATTTTGCATAACGATATCAACCAATAATTATTGTCTGTAATTTAACTATGCCAACAATTCATTAGAATATGAATGTCCCGTTATTGGCAGATAACGTATCCGTCCTCACCGTTACCGTGTCTCTCTAACACGTGTTGATGTTGTCCCTCCACAGATCTCCATGCATTACAACGTCCCCCCTCCCCCCGACTTCTCTGCCTTCAACATCTCCACCAACACCATGGCCAAATGCAACACCAGCAGGCCTCAGCTCATCCTCTTCGTGCATGTCAGGTACTGTGTGTGTGTGTGTGTGTGTGTGTGTGTGTGTGTGATGAATGATGATTGGTTACATTGTTTTGTAGGAATGACGTGAATAATTTTACTGGGAATTTGTTTTTAACTCAATTACTGTATCCAACTTTAGTTTGTGTTAACAGTGACTGTGGACTTTCACTGGATACAGAAACTTCTCCCAGTTACATCAGCAAATATTGCCATAATAAAACACAGATAAATACACATAAATAATACAACACAGAACAAACAGTGGCTGCATTAACAATATGGGGGCTGTTTAATTATGAGGGGGAAAGAAACTGAAACCTGCTGGCCTGAAATAATGGCTTTGACCTTTTGAGATGACCTTCACATAACCCATCATACAGACATTTAGTAATGTTACATTTGTAACTACACTCATTATTACAGACTTTTTAAGATTACTTTAAGACCATAATCTTTTGTACTACAGGTTTTCTATAATGTTCAGTTTAAATATGCACATGAGGCATTAACTAATGCAAATAAACAATGTGTAGTAAAATAAACAGTTAAATGTGCATTTTGGTCATTTTCCCCCGACTCATCTAAAAGAAGACTGAAAATAGCTCAAACATTTCTAAATGAACAGTGCCTAGTTCTCATCACAAAGGCGTTTTATTAACAGTTTGTTTCTTCTTAAATTATAATGATGAATAATGAAGGATTTTGTGGTGCGGACACTATGTTATGGTATATGTTGTGTTGTATATGTTATACATGTCTATATGTTTGTGTGCAGGTACCAGGGCAGGAGAGAGGAAACGAACATGGTCATCATCAACATCAAGCTGCTGTCTGGTTACATTCTGGATAAGAGCTCCCTGAAGCTGGTCAGTTGTTCAGCAGCTGAGCAGACAGGCACTAACTCACTGTCTTACACAGAGCTGCAACGATCAGTCCACTAGTTGATTAGTTGATAGAAAGAAACAACAGATAACCACCAAATATTTTGATAACTGATTCATCCTTAAAGTCATTTTTCATGCAAAAATGGCAGAAGATGCTGTTCTCAGCCTCTCAGATACAGAGATTTTCTGATTGTCACATTGAGCTGATTATCTTCGGGCTTTGGACTGACGAGACACATACAGACACTTCGGTTTATTAGAAACAGGGATGGACATTTTATAGCTTAATCAATTCATTTTGACAATGAAAGTAATGGTTAGCTGCAGCCCTACTCTCATATACTGTCTGTGCTAATACTACCAGACTGCAGCTCTGCATTATAATATATGTTTATCATGAGTATACTGATGGCAGTGTGTGCTTTCGTAGCTGAAGAGCGACCGCTCAGTGAAGCGCGTGGACGTGGAAGAAGGATTCATCAACATCTACTTAGACGGGGTAGGAAGCACCGACAGAGTGTCTGTCAGGGTTCCCACGCATCATGGAAAAGCTGGAAATTTAGAAACTGGTTTTCCAGGCATGGAAATTTTAGTATTTTTTCAGCGATCTTTCAGTCAGAATTTTCTGTATAAAATAAATTCTACTTAAGCAAGTGCTGTATTGTCAAGAAAACTCCTGGAAAAAAGGATTAGTTAAAGAGTGGGAACCCTGACTGTGTGTTTGGTGAAATAATGTTCCTAACAGCTAGTGAATGTTTTTTGTGTATGGGAGTAAAGTTAAGTGTTTGTGCTTGCAGCTGAAGAAGGATGAGACGAAGATCTACAGTGTGACAGTGGAGGAGGATCAGCCCGTCAGGAACCTGAAACCAGCCGTGGTTAAAGTCTACGATTACTACCAGACAAGTAAGAACCCTTCTTCTTTTTTCTTTGTGTGTGTGAGGCCGTGTTTCCTTTACCTAAAGGTTGTATGTTGAATGTTTGCAGGTGATGAGGCCGTCACTGACTACACCTCCCCCTGTGCAGAGAGTAAGTAACATTTACTATATTTGATACATATATATGTGTATATGTATACATATATAGTAACACAACTAGTCATCACATCACAGTGTTTCAGTACAATATTATGTCTGAACCAGAAAGGACAGTGAAAACATCAACTCAACTGTCACTTTGTGTTGTTGGTTTGTTTTAAAACTGCAGTAGGTAACTTTTATAAAATGAAGTTTTATATTTTGTCTTATTTGCTGAAACACTATATCCCGACAGTAGAACATGAGACAGATAATCTGTAAAAAAAAAAAAAAAAAAAAAATCTGGTTCCTCTGAATCCTTCTAGTGCTCCTAATGGCATTTACAAGATTACAAATTCTGAGATATAGGCCTACGGCGTATATTTTTCAAGTTTTCTTACAGCCCCTTAAAATCAACAAGGCCTTGCAACCACCCATGAAGCTCTGGCGACCCCTAGTGGGAGTCCTGATCCGATTTGGAAGCAGTGGTCTAAAGGAAGAAAGCTAGGCGAAAAACTCAAAGTTGGCGAGTTCATGAAAATGTTTTTGCCTGCAGTTAATGAATGTAGGGTAATAAGAGCTTTGATTATTAAGCTCTACTGTGAAAACAAGGTTAAAGCAATTGGTAAATGGTGACGTAAAGGTACCACAGGCACAGGAGGCACTACTCACTAACTTAATTGTAATCCAGTCTACTCAAGGAAACAAAGATTGTCGAATAATTAGTTTTCCAAAACTCACTTGGTCCAGTGGTTACCTATAAGTGTCCCATTTTCCATCAAGTGCTATTAAACTTAAATTTAGTGTAAAAACAAATCCATTCAAATGTTATTTTTCTTAAAACTGCTCAAACACTGACTGTAAATGCAACTGTGTTGCGTTTCCTCTCCAGGTGACACCATCAACGAGCTGTAAAACCCTCGTGGAAATCCTGCGGAAAGCCCCGCCGGGACTTCTTTCAGTTGGAAGAATCACTGTGTCAGAGAAAGAAACTTCTAGATGTGTATTTTTTTTTCTTTAGACTGTTTAATTTTTTTTTTTTTTACTCCTTTTTAAACTTTTTTAGCTGTGTTTTATTGTGAGTGAATCCCACTTTTTGTGTAATTTTAGGAAAAAATTTTGACTTTTCTTTTTTGATTGTTGCTGTTCCGCGGTAGGCTCGTCCTCCCACGACTGTTAGTAATGAACCATTAATCAGTCAGCGTGAGAATCCACACAATTGTCACTGCTGTCTCTCTCCTCAACACTGGAACCTTCACATTGTAACCCGCAGGGCTCAAGAAAAGCAGCCGATATTCTGTAACAGTTCTGTTTTTAATAGATTTGACAAAATCCATATTATTCATACGTGAAAGCAACGCATGAGACATACAGGGTACCAATAACACAGTATGGTCCGAGTATTGATTGTTTGTGTGTGTGTGTCTGTGTGTGTGAAACAGGATCTACTTTCTAGAAAAACAAAAAGTACAGTCTCATGAGTGCTAGGTGAGTTATTCTGCGTGTGTGTGCAGATGTGTGTGTGTTCTGCTGTACCAGTAAAAAAAAAAAAAAACAGGTAGATTGATACATCACTACCATACAATTTGAAATGTAACTGACTGACAATAAAATTTCTAAAATGACAAAAATAAGTAAAAATTGTACTTCTTTCCATACAATACTGTTTCATTTCAATAGTAAGATATTTTTTTCATTCAGGCATCCTCTTTACAGTATATTTAGTTTCCTTTCTTTTCAACATAGATTACAACAGTAATGTATATACCACCTACTATCAACAGACATGATTTAACAGCCTTGCCAGTGTTGAATAGTTTGGTTTGCACATGTTAACTGTGCAGGGAAGATAAAGGCAAGGGGGACAGAATATATTAAGGTCTTTTCACTAGTTTTTTTTTTTTTTTTTTTCAGTAAACGTGTCACTATCTCAGGCACCACAACCATAAATTATTATTACTGTACCGACACATGAAACTAAACAACAGTTCCACATGCTCCAAATAATCACAGCCTAGTTTGTCCTCTGCCTCTACAAAACCGAAAACGACGTCCGTTAACTACAAACTGTAATGTTCACGGCCGATCAATAGATTCACAACGTGATGATCAACACGGAGACGCCAGGCGAGCCCGGTCCTTTACAGTCTGTTAAAGCTGAAGATACGAGGCTTCAATGTCCATCCGCATGCATGCAGACCTCAGCTCACAGTGGGGATTCATAAGTCAGCTGTGTGCTAGCTTCATTTATATTGAAAAGTTATGATAGCAAAATGTTAGCTAGCTATTTAGCAAGCATTTTGCTCCTGAAACTCTAATAATAATAATAATAATAATAATAACTATTAAAATTTGCCTTTTGCGAATCAAAAGTTGTTAAACTGTTTAATATCCTTGCAGAACAAGCATCTGCACCTCTGATTGGTTAGGATTTAAAGGAGCACTCCAGCGAATAAGGGGAACTTGCGAGAGACGGATTTAAAAAAGGTCAAATTAAAGACACTGATGACATCATCAGGGTTATTTTCTCAGACAAAGCTCCTCCAGACTGATCAGTTCCCCACGATGACGACTGAAAACTGAGTGTTCCTTTAATAATATACATGAATCTACCCACTATATTGTACATTGAGAGTTAAAATAACAACAGTGAACTAACTGATCCCACTGTGCTCCGGGCCTTCGGTATCTGCCTGTAACCATCAGACGTCCCCGTAACGGTGTAGAGACCTCGTGCCAACGTGTCCACATACTGCATCACAGCACAGAAACACAAACTAAAATGCATTCATACAATTGTAGCCTTCCAGCGAGGCTGTGCTGGACTCACGGCATCAATAACAACACATAGTCAAGGCACAGTTCAGAATTGCATTAGTCCGTATTTTTCATCCTGTCCTGGTCCTGTGGCGGTGCGGTCTCTGTAGCGCCCTCTGGTGGTTTTGCTTTAGGCTGGCAGTGATGATGGCTGCTTCCCAGCTGTGTAGTCGCATCATCAAGTTAGCTGAAGGCTACTTGGCAAATAGAGCTTTATCTGTTTATAAGTGTGCACGGAAATATTCTGTTTGCACCTTGAGTTGGCAACATGGCGGCATCAGACAGACACAGTGAAATACTCATGTTCATCACATATAGTACACTGACAATGTGGCAGCTATGGTTGGACCAATATACAGGCTGTCTGGGTGTTGGCTAACATCCAGCTAATATGATGGATTGGCTACTTGTTTTATTTCATCGTAAATTGTATTAAAAATGTGGGGATCCACAATTGTCAAAGAAGTGATAAATTAAGTGTATATACATTTTTGGATGTTTTGTCCGAATTAAACAAATGAGACATATTAGCTAATAGTTTTTACCTTTGGACAGAGCCAGGCTAGCTGTTTCCTTTCTAGTCTTTATGCTAAGCTAAATGTCTGTTGCTTCATATTCAGCATACAGACATGACAGTTATTCTGGATTTAGAGCAGCTTTTTATTAATATGTTATATATAATGTTTACTGCACCAAACACTGTTCATTAGCAGCTTTAATGCTAATATCAGTCCCAGTCTTACCCCATATTAGTGGAACCATAGTGAGAACTGCAGCGTGAACTCCTGAGCTGTAGTGGGTCAAAGTCAACAAAATACCTCCAGTTACTTTGGTAAGACTATGTGAAGTAATGTGACTGGGATGAAGCTCTGGATGGCGTAATGTGCTGAAGATGTTGCATTTAGTGTTAGTCTTTAGTCTAAGAGCAGCTTGTGGAGGATGCTCTGTTTTACTGTGTCACTGTTACAGTCAAGTGTGCTGGACTCTTAGATCCGCTCCGGTCCCTGTCGACTGATTTTATTATTTCTCATGGATTCTGACATTTTGAATGCGATTCTTTCAAATATATTCCTAAATTGATTACACCCTTTGATTGAAGATGTTTTCTGTCTAAACTGAGCACAGTCATGATGGAACACTCAAAATAAAACATTGGCATTATGTCATTTGGCAATTTTCTCTAGAAGTAAAAAAAAAAAAAAAAAAAAGAAAGGAAACAAATAATACAAAATGTTCAACAAACAGTAACTACAAGATCTCCATTTGGCAATATAGAAAGGCTTTTTAAAAGTCTTTGACAGGTATACATTTTGGTTTATATACAGATGTGTGTAAGTTTGTGTGTCCTCCGAGGGCTCCCTTTTTCAGAACAGAAATCACATAGAAAATGTGGAGGTGAAACGTCTACATAGTAAAAATCATAATGTGAGATTAAAAATGAAAAGTAACAAACAAGGCGTTGTGTCCGCAGTGGACTGGAAACGGATGTGGGGGGGGGGGCTGTAGAGTCTGTGATGGGAGAGTCCCTGCCGAAACTATCTGCTCGTCACCTTTGCTGCACGCGCGTCTCTCAGTTCATGAACTGTGTGTATCCCTCTGCTCCTGTGACGATCACGTCCATCCAGATCCTCATGGCCTCTGCTGAGGGGGCCACCATGTAGTAGAGCCGGTCGTGGGTCTTTACGCAGAAGGTCAGGGAGGGGTTCGGGCTCTGGGAGACAGAAAAACAAAGGGAAACTTGAACTCCCACGTTCGTAGACCACATCTCCTCCCTGCTGCTTTCTCATTGTTCGTACTCCATCAGGTATGGAGTTACTGAAGTATAATATAGGTCAGATTCATTTAGTGTAGTACTTACAGAACTACCCTCGTTATCAATGGGGAGGCTTTCCATTTAACTGACTCTAATGAGACATTTTCAGTCCACACAGTTCTGCATTAATGTTGAACAACTCCAATGAACTAAATGTTTTTCTGCTCTAGCCCTAGTTTGTGCCTCTAATGCAGGGGCAGGTGACCTGTGGCTCTTAAGCCCCTCTCCAGTGGCTCATTGTAACTCACCAACACCGAATCATTCAACCAACTCTGCACTTCCGCTCAGTTCCACGGAGATAATCAAAAGCACTTTGGGACTAACCTTTTACCAGGTTAAAACTGTTTCAAACAACAACAGGAGCTAGAAATGACACGTGTTTTCTCCGTTTGTCCAATGGGAACCAAAATGTTTTACTATCAATTAAATGCATCTCTGTGTCCCAGATCAAGAATTAAGTTTCAACATTTATCAAAGTTCCTTTTTATTTTTTTATATTTTTCCATGTGGGGAAAATGGTTAAAAATCGCTGATGGTTAGAATCTTTGTGCATTTTGATACCTTTTATAACAGTGCTTGTAAATGACAACTAAGTTTTTCATACATCACCTGGATTGTTTTAGAAAGAACAGCTGCTTAGCTGTGAGACTTAAATGTAATGGAAATATATGAGATTTAAGAAAGAATGATAAGAAATGAGAAATAGAAAGAGATCTGAATTTAGCACAGAATGCCGTCCCTCTCGACCACTAATCCACAAATACTGCTACTGTTACTGAGTTGGTTTAACCAGATTTCATGAAAACAACAATTCATACAGAAAAGTAATGAAAAAATAAACTTTGATGTTGTTATGTCTTTGGAAGAGCAACCTGACTGAAGTACAATAGATTTCTCCCCTTTTTCTAACCATCATCTTTCTGTCTTTGCTAAGTGCAGAAGCCTTTAAAGTTCTCCTCTGTAATGTGACATTGGAAGTGACAAGTAAAATCAAAGTTCCAGAGTTGATCAGAGCCACACAGTTAGTCAGAGTGCGCTGCACTGCGACAGGCCATCAAACACAAACACACTGAAGATGAGGAGGCAGCAGCAGATCAGCTTTATGTTGGAGATAAAAATAAAACAAATGACAAGACGTGTGAGGCTCAAGTCAGGCAGCCGGGATCATATAGAACAGAAATAGGTCCAAAAACGACACCTACGGCTCTGAGGAAGAATGCCGCCTCCTGAGCAGAGGGATCAAACGGGGTCGTACTTCTGTAGAGCCGCAGAACGACTAAAAATGATATTTAAGAATATTTAAGCTAAATTATATTTAACATGTTAAATAATTTAACATACAGGCTACATTGTCAACCAATTCTAGAAATAAACGTTGAGATAATGAAGAATAAATACAAATAAAATAAACCTTAAAAAAAACCGTATCAGCCCTAATAAAGACAATGTAAATAAGCAGGTTCTCGTTTTCTAACCAGTTGACTGCTTTACACTGGGAACACTGGGATGGACGGAGGGATCAAGCAGGATTATAGGATTCCATTTACAAACAGGACTCATGCATCATCAGCCGTGGAGCTCGTGTCCTACTCTCTATCACAACACACAGTGTATGGTTTGGACACACAGGTTCAGTGGGGTGGGTGAGATGGGCGAACAGAGAGCGTGGATACATACACTGGTCATATTCAAGTTGAAAAATCCCTTCTGTGACAGCAGCCGGCCAAAGCAAAAGCAAAACGGGGAGAAAAGAAGCAAAGCAGAGAGTGTGCAGAATGTTTGAAACCAAAGAGAACGTAAGGTGGAAATAAACAGAGTGTGAAACGGATGAGAGAAAACGGCGTACCTTTGTGGCACTGCGGAGGTGATCGTAATAGACCTCTTCTATTGCCTGGAAGTAGATCACACCCTTCAGCTTGGTCTCATGTTTGTCTGCGGGAAGGAAAAACAACGTGGGTTTGTTTAAAAGACTAAAACATATTGACAGCGACAGACTTCTCTTGGCTTAGAAAAGCCGAGGCACATCACTTCCATGTCACCTAGGATAAGGACAGGGAGAACACACGGCACGGTCATTAAAAAAAAAAGAAGAAGAAATCAAACTTTGATCATGACCAATTTATGGTTTGTGATGATGGATGGAAAAAGACAACCACAGCACTTTTTCTCTGTTTTTAAACCGAAGGGGCTCTCATTGTATTTTCACACTTGACTGCATTCTTACGCTACTCTGGTACATCATTGCAGTTTGTTTCATCAGCCACTGCAGAACTGCAGTAAGGAACCGGTGGGGAACTCAACACCCCTCTCTACCTCCAGGCACAAACACTCCACAAGCCAACTTAAGAGTAGTAGGTAGAGACGCAGCAGCGCTTCATTTCGAGGAATAACACTTTCCTTTTAACACGCCGCTATTATCTGCTAATGACCTCTTTAGCATTCAAATAGCCCGGCATTTGCATCTCATTTGACTGCATCTAAATTACCAAACCTCTGGTTGAGGCTGATTAACGAGAATTAGCGGCGCCCGTGACTTGCGCTCGTCACCTCTCACTGTTCCAAGGTCAAGAGACAAGGGCGATGCATCTCAATCAGCCTCCTCAAGAGAGAGCGGCGCTGTGTGCATTTTAACTACCGCCAGAGTAATCTCAGTACACCTCCTCACCCTGGCTCACTTTCAACAAGGTACGCTTTAAGCAGCTTTAAGCAGAACCTTCTGAGGACTTCAAAGGCCTGACAGCGAACAAGTGTCCCAGAGCTCACAGCGCACCGTCAAATTACACCACCGTGCACGCTACATGCTTCATGTGCTGCTGCTCAAGGTCCTTAGGACGCATGTTCTGTCTGCCACTCATCCACAGCGGGACATTTCTGCCATTTTACATGTGAAATGTTTAAGCTTATTGCAGCTGCTTCACCATTTTACAACTGCAGCCTCTGGCACTTCATATAGCTGCTGTAATGTCTCTGACTGCGTGGCACGAAAATAAACCCGGCCAGGGTTTCCCACACAAACACACATCATGGACAAATTAACGGGAACACCTTGCAATCAAAGGCAGTCCAATATTTACTTACTGTATGTATATAGAGTATTTCCATTTCATGTTACTTTCTACTTTTACTCCACTATATTTGTCTAACAGTTTTGGTTACTAGTTATGTTACATCATAGAATTTTATAAAAGCAACGTGAGCATATAAAATAACTACCCAACAGTGTGTAAAGTGTTCAAATTCACACATTAACAATCCAATAATATCCTGTAATATATAATATTTACAACACTCACAGGAGCCATTTTTCTGCTTTATGATTTCTTTTAAGTACATTTTGCTGATAATGCACTATACCTTCCATTAATGTGACATTCTCACTAACATGTGAGACTTTTACCTGGAACAGAGTAGTGCTGGGCAGTATGACAGGAATTTGTATCACAGTATTTTAGATTTAAGATTGTGGCAGTATATCATGGAATTCATTTTATATATTTTTTGAATAACAGACAAAAAGCCTCAGTAACAAAGTAGAGGAGCCATTTAAAGGTTTGTGAGCTTTCAAACATATTTCTTCCTTGAAATTGAGCTAGAAAAAGTGGGAATGTATTATATTTGAGGACTGAACATTTCTGTATTCTTTAGTCGGTTCCTAAAGAGCGTTGCATTATGGGCTGTTTGCAGCTTTAACGTTGGGAGTCTGTATACAGTAAGGCTGTCTAATATGTTTTGTTGCCACTGATGAGATAAATTACTGACCAGTAAAAATAACATAACTGTAGAAACAGACCAGAGAGTGAATAATCAGCCCAAATTCCAGCGTCATACAGTGTCAGGCTGAAGAGCTCAAACTGAAAGAAATGTGTCTGACCGCTCCAGGAGCCTGGCAGGGGAGGGTGTGAGCACATCACTGCTGCTTTCATCTGAGTATTTCATGTCTTTTACAAGAGAAAAGGCATCAACAATGAGAGAGCCTTCAAAAAGTATTTCAAAAAGTTTTCCAAAACCAGCTGTTAAGAGGGGGGTCGCCTTATAATCAGGCAAATACGTGGGGATGAAAATGTTTCCAGACTTTTGTGAACTTGAAATATGGGCTTGGAAACATGAACAAAAAGACAAAAGAGCATCACAGTAAACACTGCAGCACCAAATATTGCGGTTTCTTACCGACGTAGTAGGAGAAAGTCCTTTTGAGGCGGTCGAAGACGAACCAGCGTTTCTTCCAGGACTTGATCTTGCCTCCCATCTTCACCAGGTAGCCCTTGCACATCTTCTCTGTGAGAATGACTTGGTAGCAGGTGTCAACGCTGTGGCCCGATGACTCCACGTGGGAGCGCAGGTCGAACTCCTCCTTCCGGATGGGCAGGTAGCGAGTCATTGGACGGGCCTGGACGGAGCAAAGAAACAGCGGACTAGTACAGCAGTTTCATTTTTGCAAACTTTGTCTTGTACTTGAAGAGGTTTAGCGTCCTGTGATGGTGTAAAGTCTCTTGCACAGGCTTCAAATGGTCTGAAAATGGGTCAAATTTAATGATATTGAATGCTGGGACAAACTATTACCAACCAGTGGCTGCCACTTCACAGACAGGTGGAGTAATTTTCCACTTTTCCACCATGGAGACTCAATTACGTCTCATTTTACTGACCTGAGAGAAGTTCTTGGACCTCATCTTGACCTCCTTCTCCACTAGCTGCTGCCGGTGGAAAGTTTCGTCCTGCAGTCTCTTCTCCGCCTCCTCCCTCCTCCTCCTCTCCTCCTCCAGCATCTGACGGCGAGCCAGGCTCTCTCGTTCCTGGAGGAGAGTGCTTTCATTAAATATTTTTTTGATCTGTGCGATGCAGAGAACACATGCTCTTTTTTTATTTCCAGCCAGAACTTGCCAGCTTGACATTCATACATTTATGTACATTTTTTGCATGCTGGGAGCTGCTGGCCACCGTGCAGCTCCACTGCAGCAATCGGTTCTTTAAACACAAAGCTTTCAGCTGTTTGGAGAGGTAACACGCACGAGTGTACATACACAACGCATTCATACAGACATGCAGACACCCAAGAAAGCAACCAGGAGTGGGAAGAATACTAATAAAAGTATGTGTGTTTAAAGTATCATTGAACAATAAATCCTGCTTACTGACGCTCATCTTGATCTGGTAAAATTCTACTTTTTTTATGATGAAGATGCAAATGCTCTTAACTGCATTTCCCTAACTACAGTCTTTTCCTTACAACTTGTCCTCCCACTAAAGGCACAGGGAGCGAGGAGATGTTTATATTAAAACCACCATCTGAAGCGATCAGCTGTTCGTCATAGTTTATGGTTCTGTGGCGACTTTAATTAACGTGATTTGAGTTTGCATTTATATTCAATTCAATTCAATTTTATTTGTATAGCGCCAATTCATAACAGAAGTTATCTCAGGACACTTTTCAAATAGAGCAGGTCTAGACCGAACTCTTTATAACATTATTTACAGAGACCCAACAGTACCACCATGAGCAAGACCTTGGCGACGGGGGTAAGGAAAAACTGCCTGTTAAAAGGCAGAAACCTAGGACAGACCCTTCGGCTCTAGGTGGGTGGTCGTCTGTCTCGACCAGTTATATGCACTGTCCAAATAATAAGAAGGGTGCACAGTAAACCTGTGTTTCAATTCTGCTTTTGTTTTTCCCTAAAATCAACAGTTCCACAAACATCTGCTCATTTATTATAAACCTGTATTATTCTGTATGTTTAACTTTTAGGGAAATGACAGTGAACTTCACTGCTCAGACTCTGAATGCACATGGGCCATTTCTACTCACACAATGTGTTATTTATTAGCATCTGCATTTATTGATATGTTGTCTGTACATTCATTATCTAAAAATCTCACATTAAAATAGTTCCTGGGATTTCAGCCTCACATGTGACTGAATGGAAATAATGATGACAATTAAAGCTGCAGTAGGTAACTTTTATAAAAATCTATTAATATATCATATCTAGTGCTACTAATAGTATGTGCAAGAATCCACTCTGATTGGTTGTTTTCGTGTTTTCGAGCACTAGGAGGAGCCAGAGGAACCTGATTGTTTCACAGATTATCTGTCTCATGTTCTACTGTCAGGATATAGTGAAAGTTTCAGCAAATATGACAGAAAGTTATTTTTATAAAAATGACCCACTGCAGCTTTAAACTTCTGAATGTGTAACTCCTTTGTTAATTAAACCAACAAGCACAACGCAGATCCTTCTTTTCTTCTGTGTGGTGAATCAGATAGCATAAAAGAGACGCAGCAAGAGGGGATGGCATTATCTGACTCAGAAAAGGTGATTTCAGTCAGTATGTGTTCTCTGTTAAAGTTGCACTACAATGGAACTCCTTCCCATTATAGAACTGGACACAAAGGGCATATTTAGAGCTTGTTTACAGAAATTAGCGCTCAGATCTGTCTGCACGAAAACTCGTCTTATGTCTGTCTGTGCTGAACTTCCCTTGCTGTCTGCTGTCACCTGTTGCTCTCTTGCTACTGCCAGTCTGCATTATGAGCCTCTGTGATGCACTTTTTAAATAATACCTGACAATGTAGTATAAAGGTGTTCAGAATGGTGCTTCTATTAACATCCATAGTTTCCTTTACTTTCATTATTGTTATGCATGTTTAAAGTGTCTTAATAACTTTTCAATCTTATTCTGTTTTTAGGGTGACTGTAACATCTGCTTAGGGACTACAAATGTAAAATTGCCTCTTTTACCGCAATGTTTTATCAATGTGCACTGTCCCTGCTAAATAAACCAACATTTTTTTGTCCCTGATGGGCAATTCATTTTACCGCAGCAGCAATAAAAAATAATCAACAACAACAACAACACAGGGTGACACATACGGTTAACAGGGAAGAGCCACCAGTACATAACTACACATATAAAAACACGAGTAAAAGGTCAAGTATGCATTAGTGATAGAATGGGCAGGGTTGGAGATGTGCTGATGTTTCACAGAGCAGAGAAAAGGGTATGAAAGAGAATTTATATCAGTTAGTTTCTGTGAGTGGTTGTTTGAGGCAGGAACCAGAGGGCAGTAGCTTAAATCCTGAATGCAGGGGGTGCGTACTGTCAGGACGGATTCTGCCTACTTTAGCACGTTTGTTGTACAGTTCAGGTAGTTTTGTCTGCTGAGACCTTATTGACAATGAGTATTTCTGTTTGAGGTTGAGAAAAGCAAACCAACAAATACATGAAAAAACTGACTCAATAAAAGATTTTTAAACAGTGTCACCAGAGATCTGTTCACCTGGAACTTGGCTAGCTTTCAAAGGAGTATAATACTTGAGCTGGTTTTATCGTTTGGGTATAAAACTGCAGCGACGTTGGGGGATGCGGTCAGTCCAAAATAAGAAATAAGAAATAAGAAAGCACAGCACAGTAGCAGCACCCTGACTCTGGAACAGAACCTTAATTAGTATCACTGGTAACACCTGTGTTTACCCTACTATTTCATGTCAAAATGGCTGCTGTGAAAAAGGTCTATTGTGGGGAACAAGTGTGTTCATTCCTCCCTCTAATCCTGTCTTAAACCAACTGAACTGACTTAATAAACAGAAGTTAGAGTAGAAAAAGGAGCTGTATTCATGTAGTGAAATATACTAAAGAAGCACTGAACAATAGTAGCAAGAGGAATGTGGGAGGAAAAACTTCAGACCAGGCCACTGATTTGATCATCTTTATCGCTCTTTGTATTTCAGTCTGAGCTTCTTCTTCTTCACACAAAGAGATGAAGACGTTGGAAACATGGAGGCCGATAAAAATGAATGAAAGCCTCCAGTCGCTGTCCCGACCCTTTATATCTTAAATCCATGCTCAAAGCTATTGACGGGAACACTGCAGAGCTCTCATCAGTCTCTAGGTATGGATTGTGAATAATCACGTTCTCACACTGTAACGCTGCTTCTCTTTTCAACCTGTGTCTTACCCGCGATTCAATAAGTCTGGCTTTCTCCAGCTGCGCCTCCTTCAGCATTTTCTCCATCTCCTCGATCTTCATCGCGTCCACTCCTCCGACACTGATGTCAAACACAAAAACACAGTGTTACCTTCGTCTGCCTTCAGAGTGGTTCTCCTCCCACGTTTAACAACTACATCGCTGCAAATCAACTCAGTTAACCTTTTACTTCAAAGCAGAGCTCAAACAACATCTGCAGGGCAAGTTTGCAGACAGTATTTGTGAAGTCATTTCCCTACAGATCTGAGGAAGTCAGTGTTTACTCCTGATGTGTAAAAGCCTTTAATAGAGGATTAAAAACACTAAAAGTCTCCTTTAAATCCCCAGGGAACAACAGCCAGACATTTTAATAATCACAGACTTTACTGAAGGAAATCTAACCAACGTTAGAGCAGTGAAAACATTACGGAGTAACTCAACTAATCTGAATAAACAGAAATTACTATTTAATAAATCTATGTATATACACACATATTTGAGGTGAACACTGTTGTTGTACAATTGAGAGTGCGTGAAAACTAGTTGGTAATCAAGCAGAGCAGTCTAAATGGTTAGCTAAAAGTAATTGATAAATAGTCAAAGTAGCAAAAAGTAACAGAAATGATTGAAAAAGTCATTAAAAGCAGCTTTTTAATGACTGTCTAACTATTATGCATTCACCAAGACAGACTGAAAGATTTTAACATACAAATGGGAGCCAATGAGACCAATCAGGGCAGGTGGATATTTATCTCTAATTTTAGGAAGTGGAACAACTACGTATTAAAAAAAGCATTGAAACAACAGCCAGAGTTACTGATACGCTACGAAACAGTGTCCCTGCCTCCCTCCTGTCTACACTGTTCATTACAGAACAAATCCCATTAAAGTCATCCTGAAAAAACATGACTAATTGTTTTTGGGATTGGACTCCTGAGAGCTATAAAAGCTATTTGAACAGTAGGAGCTGCTGAGAACATGCTGCTGTAATGCAGCACGCAGCTGGGCCACGGTAACAGACGCTCTACAAATGAGCCGACCTGTGGACAACCACTTTACCTGGTGAGACTGAGTGTGTGTGTGTGTGTTAGGTTGCTTTCGTGGCATGCTTGGCTTTTCTCACCACAATGGATGTTTTCGCTTTCCAAGTAGGCTTTTTTCACAGCAGCCATTCTGACATGAAATAATAGGGTAAACACAGGTGTTACAATGACACTAATTAAGGCTCCATTCAGTTTAGTAGCAGAACCTTTCCAGTGAGCCAACATGCCCCTGCCTCTGTTTATCCTGAATGGAACGTAACATTCATTGGTAACACCTGTGTTTACCCTACTATTTCATGTCAAAATGGTTGCTGTGAAAAAGGTCTATTGTCTCCAGCTTTCCTCTAACTGTAACATTAATTTAGCCATGGCACATGCTGAAATTCAATTAAACTTTTCCAAGACATAGATTCTTTCCAGGATATTATCAAAACCCATTGCTGCAGCATGGCAGCACAAATTCTAGCATTTGCATCAGATACAACTAGGAGTTAAACAATGGACTCAAAAGACATTCAAACGATGTCATTCAGGCCTGGAGATTTGTGAGGATGAGATACAGTACAGCCAATGCCAATCCTCATTACAGGAATGTGAAACCCCTTGAAATCAATGAAATGAGGCGGTAAAGACACTTGTGCTTTTGTCCACAGGGGCCACCAGAATCAACACAAAATGAAAGATCCTTGTTGCTGCTTTAATATCTTCTTGCAGACAATCTTAGTAACACTGGCTGATTCTGTGATATGGATGTTCTCAGTCATATTAATTCATGGGTTCAAAGGATGGACTACATAAGTGCGTGTGTTTCCTCCGTCCTACCTGGACATGTTATCTGGCGAGCAGGCCGAGTTGTTCCCCGTGGAAATGCTGGTGTCCATGCTGTCGGAGCTCTCCAGGCTCAGCGTGTCGTAGGGCTGCTCTCCGGCTGACGGGGGCTGGTGGTGCAGGATGGAGTGGTGGACCAGAGGTGGGGGGCCTACGGAGCTGTGGCTCAGCGCGGGGCTGTAGGACATGACTGGGGAGTAGGAGGGCGATGAGGAGGACGAGGTCATGAGGTGGGGCTGGGAGCCGTGGAGCGCCTCCCACTGACACTGGGCCTCGACCGCCGCTCTCTGTTTGAGCTCGGCCAGACGGCGGCGCTGCTCCTCGATCACCTGCTGACCTGGAGGGAGGAGGGTGATGATCAGTGGGTGCTTTCTCATTATGAACTGAGGAGGAAGATGGAGCTATAAACCTGCAAGCAACCAGATCGACGAGTCAGCAGAAAGAGGTCCGTCTGTTTCCTAAAGAGCTGGGACACCACCACGTTTAAACCAACATGCCATAGAGCAGGTCCTGAACTGAACCAGCATTAGCATCAGCACCAGCACCAGCACCAGCACCAGCACCAGCCCACAACCATGCACCACACATACAAGTATGTGCTCTCTAAGTGACACAAGCTCGAGCAGAACTGCAAAAAAGTCCCGCCACCACAAAGTTCCCCATCTGTCTAACTCTCATTTCAGATCCATGCTGCTGTGCACCTGATAATGGGCAAAACACATCTGGGAAGGAGTGCCCAGGTCGATAACTCCAAAGGAGGAGCTTGCTGAACGGTGAACATGCAAGATTTATTCTCCACCAGCGGGAACATTCATAGAAGATTGATGGAAGAAGAAAGACTGCCCGACGTTACAGACAAAAGATGAAAAGAAATCTTCGAGGAGGGGAGAGGAGTTAATGACACGCCCGGGACAAAGAGAGAGGGATGAAGAGAGGGGGAGGTTAGGAGAAGACAGGGTCTGAAATTCACAGCTGCCAAGTGTCGAGTTGTGGTAAACGTTAACTTTGATGGATAAAATCAATAAAAGTAACCTGCCAGACTGGCTTAGGTTTTGGATAAGACTTGAATATTTTAGGTACATACAGTCTTTGGTCTTCACCTGTGCTGAAGCTTTCAAACTGGCTCCTGATTGTTGTTGCTCTCTGCACAGTGCTGGCATCCAATACTCTGATTCTCTTTTGTCTGGATTGTTAATTACCTTCAAGTTAGCTTAATGATTAATCAATACATTGCTTCATATCACTGAACAAGTAAGGGTTACCCGTTGCTCAGTGACTGGAGCAATAAAACAGGTAGGGGGACATTTGAACAAGAGATTATTCTCTGCAGGTTTCGTGTTGACCCTTAATTTCAGACAGTACATGAACAAACAGGATGAATCCCGCTCTACAGAATGAAGAAAACAGAAGAAATCATCATCTCCTGGATGCTTCGATCCATCTACCTGCTGAGCCTCCCTCTACGGTGTTCTGTCTGGAGGTCTGGGGCTCTGTGGTGCAGCGGTGCAGTAAGAGACCACAAAAAAAACAGACAGACAGACAGACATGAAGAAAAACCTGAACTGCAGACGCTGACAAATGTGACTAGCCCAGCACCCGTGGGTGGCAGCCAGCTGAGCTAACACACCAGCCTGCCTCTGATCCACTTAGTCAAACAACACACACACGCACACCCACACACACACACACACACACACACACACACACACACACACACACACACACACACACACACACACACACACACACACACACACACACACACACACACACAGAGAGAGCTCTGTGAAGAAGAGCAGAACAGTGCAACAGTCTACAGTGTTTACTCATTACTAGAAAATGTTGATGAAAAGATGTAGAGATGTTTAACTCTGTGACTTTGTATCCTTCTGAAAGTCAACATATACGCGTGCTCCATAGTCATACAATCATCTGCAGCTGCTGCAACTGGCACTTTATTTGTTCGTAGGGACGGTCAGATTCACTGATTTGCATCAATGCACCGGCATAAAAGTTCAATATGCGATTGCCCCCGGTTAAAAAAGTGTGCATCGGATACAGTTTGAGATGAAATCAGGTCCAGGTCACTCACCTTTCTGCTGCAGAGCGAGCTGTCTCTTGGTCTCAATGTCCTGCAGGGTTGCAGCCAGGTTCCTGGGCAGACTGCCGGTGCTGTTGGCCGCCAGCAGGGGGCTCTGCCGGGTCATAGGGAGCAGTAATGTTAGGGATAAAGGTCAGAAATTGGTGTATGTGGGGCTGAAATAATGATCTGGATTTGAGGGAGAACTGTGGTGGACACACATCAGTACACCTGTTGAAGAGGAACAACCTGTCTACCTTTGAGCTGGCGTTGCGTCCCAGTGTCGCTGCTCCGTGCTGCAGAGGGGACGCGGAGCCTGATTTAGGCTGATGAAAAGACAAGCCTGGATCACTGTCCAGCTTAGAGCGGAACACCTGAAGGAGGAAGTACACAGAGGTCAAGACGAGGAAGTGTGTTAAAACAAAGCCATGTGACGGCAGATGGCAACAACAATGTTAGGAGCACAGCTGAAATCCACCATGGATGAGCTGAAAGCACCTGATGGAGAACGACGGTTAAAAGCATGTTTAGCATTGTGAGTGCTGCTGATGTTGTTCAAATAAAACGCTGGAATTAATAAATGAAGGTTCAATCAGCATCAAAGACTGACGGAAAAAATATCAAAGAGCCTACACACAATATGAGTTAGGCTGCAGTTTAGTACACACGCACTTGGAACAACCACCTAGTCCCTTTCACTGAATAGCTCTTTGATCAGGCTCTCTTAAGTTTATGCTGCATTCATGTACTATGGGAATGACTTGATGTTCAAAGTAATGAGTTGAAAGTGTTCACACACACACATTCTAACTTTATTTAAGTGGTGATTGAAGATGTAGACGTCTGCTACAGGCGATCACTCTCAGCTTTATTACAGACTTAACACATGATGTTTTACTCCAAAGACTCAACTTCCAAGAAAAAGCTCCAGCATGCAACCTGACCTGACATCTGTTTTCATTTTTCAGACTGAAATTAAAGCTGCAGTAAGTCATTTTTATAAAAAATACCTTTTGTCATATTTGCTGAAACTTTCACTATATCCTGACAGTAGGACATGAGCCAGATAATCTGTGAAACATTCTTATGAAATTATTATTATCTTAGATTAAGGTTCAAATTATTAGCTCAGCTCAATAAAGTGACCTAAATTTCTATAAATAAGTTTTTAAATAACTGAGTTTGCATTGCTTGTAATCAGCACCACAACCTTCATGCATTTTCGGTTTTTTTTTCTAGTTGATTTTTTGTTTGTTTTAAGGCCCATTACAGTCTTTCAGTGGCAGGATTTCTATGCTGGTTTTAAGAATTATAGCCAAGCAAATTGGCTTACCACACTAGCAATGGCATTTCTTTGCCCAATACAAGAAAATATTATTACATGTAAGAATATTTGGCTTGTTTCTAGAAGGACCGTTTTGCAGTGTACTTTTCAATGGAGAAGATGGTTTTTTCCATATAACGTGAATGCAGCTTCCTCTAGTCCTCTGACACACAACCAGCTCCTCGGATGTGACTTGAAGCGAGTTGAAGGTTGAGCAGAGGAATAATAACACAAACACACACACACAGCAGAAGAACAAGTGGAAAAGAAATGAGTAGAAAAGAAGAGAGGCCCTCTACCTGCAGCACAGCTCTGCGGCCCGACAGCGACTTGGCTGGCAGAGGGGGAGGACAGAGCTGGCTGGAGCCAGCCATCAGCTCCTGGTACCACTGCTCTAAATCTAGCTTGGAGAGGTGAGGCCTACTGCCCTCAGACTGGTACTGGAGAGCAGACGGAGGAGCGGCAGAGAGAGGCAGGACAGGAGAGAAAGGAAAGAAGACAAGAGGAGTTTAGAAAGCATTCAAAGACAGTAGGAAGAGGGTAGAAACACCCTCAAAAGCTGCAATTAAGGTTTCTTCTTTAATATCTTCAACACATTATTGTTGTTAGCTGCATTATGCTTTATACCCTCCAGCTGCTATATCCCTACTTTACATGTCTCTATTCTAATGCTATGTAGCTGCTGCAGTGACCCAGTTTCTCACGAGAACATTTAACATCTGATTTTATGTTTTACTTCACTTCAGCCGTCCATGGAGCCTGTCCACGTACAGTGAGGGTGAGAACCACAACGATGTTTAAGTGACACTGGACCAACTCCACAGGAGGGACAACACATTAAATGACCATACATTGCCCTGACTTTGTTTATTAAATTCAATATTTAATATTACAACTTGACAACCAACTTGATGAACCATATTTTGACTTGTAATGAAAAAAATATATTTTAAGTGCACTTTTAGCCCCAAATAGTTCAGTGTGCTCAGTGTTAGGTCTTTTGGTTTTTGATTAATAACTTATTCTTGCCCAGAATGTCCCTCTGGTTCTCACCCTTCGACATACATACATCAGGGTTCACACTCTTTTTAAGAAATTATTTTCCAGGACATTTTAAGTTTTCTTGACAATACAGGACAGCACTTGCTTACAAATGGTCCTAACATTTAGCAGTAGGCCTAGTATTTCCACATTTGACAGTTTTAGTTTTTATGATTAAGGGTTCATGATGAGGTGACGTAGGTTCATTACAGGTCTTTTCTCCGTCTCCAGTGATCTGACTGCAGTTTACTACAGTGTTCTTCAAACCTAGGTTAACGTAGGCGATCTGAGTGAGAGGGTAAAATACAATAAAGCATTTCCAGTGCAACATATATTATTTCTGGTCATTTTGATCCATTCCCAGGTGTTTCCAGGACTGGAAAACAAGTCTCCAAATGTCCAGATTTTCAAGGTTTTCCAGGACATGTGTAACCCTGATACACACATATCTGAAAGAATCAAACTAGATTTATGTTGTTTTCTTCCAGCCTAAATGTTTTTTTGGGTTTGTCTCTGTTGTTCTGAAAAACCCTTTCAAACAGCTGACTGAGACATGCTGCTTATGTAATGCAGCTGTTGCTAACATTCAGCTTCAGTTCTGATACAACAGTCTAATTTTAGGATACAGAGACATTGCCTGGGAAAACTTCATTGCACACCATATCAAATGTGATGGGTTATATTAGTAAAGTCATGGCTGTGAGCTACTTCTGGTGAATCTTTGGAAACAATGGGAGTCTGTGACTGGAGGCAAACCTGCAGAATAACAGACAGCAGGAGCTCCTGACTCTGACAAGTACAGTAACATCACAGAGTCTCCACGGGCTTCCATAGTGACAGAAAAAGAGTCTAGTATCATCCTGTGACACTTAAAAGCAATATACACCACCTGTATGTCTGTAAGTAACAGTAACAGATTTTGCTTTTGTTTGTGTCCTCTCATTTAAGTGTTGGAGTATTTCTGTTGGGACAAATAACATAATTTATGGAAAGAATTCCAGGGGGGCAGTTAACAAATGTAGGATTGATGTGTTCTTTCTTCAGTTACAATGCACACAACACTGATAACTGCAGGAAGTTTGTGTAAAAAGAGTGATTTGGATTATTGCATCTTTTTTTTAATTCCTGATATTTTTAGGAACTTTTTTTTGTTTTAGTTTTTTAGACTTTTTTCACATCATGCAAACTTAATACACATCTTTTTTGACAAATTCTGTGTTTTTTTCTCCCCTATGCCTGGCCGTTGTTGTATTAGCCGAATACTTTTCTAATAGCAGAGAGTCAAGTGTTCAGGACTTGATAAATTGACAAGTTTAGATCTTAAATAATAATAAAAATAACAATTTCATCAAGTTTTCCTGATGCTGAGATGATATAGGCCAACTGTGTATATTTTCTTACATTATTCTTACACCCCTTAAAATCAAGAAGGCCTCGCAAGCCCAGTCCCGAACCCCCAAGTTGGAAACAACTGACTTAAGCGACGTCCTCAAATGTCTTGTTTTGTCCACCAACTCAAAGATATTCAGTTTACTGTCATAGAGGACTGAAGAAACCAACCAAATCACAGAATTTTGACACCAGTAGAAAAGAAAGTTAACACAAACTGATTTGTTAGTGTGCCGTTAATGTACGTTATCCTAAAAAATAAAATAAAAACTTTTTGGTTGAACTGGTGACAGGAAGGATGGAAGGAAGGAAGGAAGGAAGACACACCTCTACAGAGAGAGAGAGGGAGGAGCCATGAGGAGAGGGGAGGCAGGAGAAGGCGGGGTCTACTGCTCCAGGCTGCAGGGACTGGCGAAGCGGGGATGTGGGGGATGACTCCACCTTTGGCATCCCATACATCTGATTTAACTGGCCCACTGTCACATACTCCTTCCCAAAGGCAGCGCACACACACACAGGAGGAGAAGGGAGAGGGGAGGAGAAAGACAGACAGGAGTGAAGACACGCACGTCAGCAAGACAGGCAGCAGGAGGGAAACATATCAAGTACACTTAGTGACCTTCTGCATCATGAAGGTGTGAGGGGAAGGGGGGTCTGAAAGGAAACACACAGGTGAGGACAGCACGACTCACACTGTCAACATCAGGGTTGGACTGATATATGGAGCCAGCTTTCAGCCACAACAGGCTGCCATTAACATAGTCTGTAGCAGGTATAAATCACCTTTCATATGTTACTGGAGCTGGCTCTACAGGGGACCAACCAAAAACTGATACTTCCTCACTTAAACCATAACTTTACTAGTTTTAGACTGTATTGTATTTGTTTATATTACTTTTTGGCTGTTGTGTTTAGAAAAATTAAATACTGTTTTCAACAGGCTAAATTTAGTGAAATTAAATAAATATAAATATAAACAAAATATTTTAGACATTTTAAGGCCTAAAATGCCGACCAAAGTATTGCTTGTTACATTAATCAGAAGATAAACAGAAAAAAGGGTATATGTTTAGACGTCTCAGAGGAGGTAGTGATAAAAGTATTATTTCGGTAAGTTGTCCTGGTGGCCTAGGTCAATACTGACGCTTTGAGTTGCCATGGCAACTTTCGTTGCACGTTATTCCCATCTCTCTCCTTCACCTCATTTTGTTTCATGTCTATTAAGTACACACATTAAAATACCTTTATTAAATAGCTTGGTACCAGTATTAAAACTTAGGTATTCTACTGACACTGATATAAACAATCTACTTAACAAATCAAGTTATTTTACAGTGTAGTAACTATTATTGACTATTGTTATTGATACAAAATACCAGCTTTTGGTTGCCTCAAAGACAAACCTGCATTTATCGGCCCAACCCTAATGAAAGCTGTATATTGCTGACACGATACAGTCACAGATCCTGCCTGCAGCTACAGTACAGAGGGAGGAGAGCAGCGGCTCACACCACAGGCTCATATAGCAGAGAGCAAAGCCAACAGTACAGTCAGTTTGATTAACAGCAAACCAGCAGAGGGAGCAACATGACATGAAAATGGAAGGATGGAGAGACAGAGACAGAGACAAAGAGAGGAGAGCACAGAGTCAGAGTCAAGACAGTAGCCAATCAGGAAAGAGACAGACAGGAAGTCATGGTACCTCACAGGCGCCAGCTAATGCAGCATCTATGGCAAACGAGCGGCCGTGAGAGGCGGGCTTGATGCTTTCGTGGCGGCCACTGCCGCCGTACATCTTATAGACGTCCGACAGCTTCATGTACTCCTGAGCGCCAGCCAACAGCCAACAACAAGTCAGACAGGGTGAGAAGCCATGAGGACAACACTGTACCGTACTTCTAGGTACAGTACATAAATAAACACACAAGCCCATAGAGATAGTTGAGAAACGGGCTGTTATTACAGCTAAAAAAGGTGCACGGTGCATGTGACGACAGACAAACAGGAACACACCAAGCAACAGGAAGTGCATCTTTAGCGTCAAAAACCGTCCGGCACACAGGATGTCACACACAGGTACTTTTATTGGCTGTTACCACAACCAGTGATGTAGTGGTGAAGATGCTGAAATGTTGACCTCTAGCTGCTGATCATCATGAGGTATGAACCTCTAAAACACATTGATTTATCATTACATACTCTCCTGTAGGGATGTAACAGTCACGGTCCGGTGAACGCAGCTGCACACAGACTCCACATTATGTAGATTGAGGTTTGAAGTACATAAGCGCACACAGAAATGTTTAGCTGTGCGCCGTTAGCAGCATGTGTTGAGGTTAACAGCACAATCTGATTGGTGTGCGAGTTAGTCCGACTATGGCCAGAGCAAAGGAAACGCCTGAACTGGAAGACTGTCCTTTAAATGACTTGTTTGGGAACAATCCGGATTCCCGGTCAGCTACAGCAGCAGCGGAGAGCTGTGGATAAGACACCGTAAGTGAATGAAAACACATCAAACATGCTGATGCACATTCAACGGCATCACCCAGATGAAAAGTAATGTATGGATTTTGTCCTGCTGTAACAAACTCACACCAAACTATGACTCCTAAAGCCAGGGCGTGAACCGAACCGTGACTCCTGTTACACCCCTACTCTCCTGTTCGACACTCGTTACTCGTGTACTTATAAAATGGTCAGCATCGCAGGATTACATATGGGTTTTACTGCACCCTCCACTACATCCCTGGTGTGGGAACAGACCCAACTTCAACTGAGAGCTACTGTGCTGGCTCCTCTTTTAACATAGTTGTTGTAAACTATTGAAAAAAGCAACCCAACCAGGCACAGGTGCAATTAGAGAGGAAGTGTGAATGGGACACTAACAGTACAATGGGTGACCTTTGGGGTGAGTTGCACACACAGCAGGGGGGGGTAAGCAGCAGGGCTTCATGCAGGGGTCATTAGTCCGGGTTACCTCCGTAGGGCTGCTGGGGTACAACTGACAGGGAGGGGAGGGATGTAAGTAGGAAGAAGAAGCTCGACAGAGGGAATGCTGGGAGGAGTGGACATCCTCCAACAACAGGTCAGCCTCGCTGATATGGAGCGCTTCCTGTTTTAACAATTCAGAACAAGTGCTTTTAATGCCCACAGAAAACATAAAGGGACGCTAGATACAAGTTCTGGTCTCTACAAAGAGTCAAGTTAAAGGGAATGTGTGAAACTTTGCTCTCCCTCCGTTACAGCTTCAGCTATGACAACATCTCTGAGTTAAACAATGATAGTCCACCAATGGGGTGACCATTAAAAGATTAGTTTGCTCGACACACCAATCATCAACAACTCGACATTATAAACACAAACTCAGCAGGACTCTTTAGATTAGTCTGATTATCACCAGGTTTACACACAAGTCACTGCCAGTTAAAGAGGTAAATGTGGTGAGGAGTCAGCTATGAGTCATCAGAGCTCCCTTTTTGTGTTCACTGCTTACACACACACACACACACACGCACACGCACACACACACACACACACACACACACACACACACACACACACACACACACACACACACGAGTTCAGTAGTTCTCTCACCTCTCTCATTGCAGTGGAGGACTTGGGGAAGCTCTTTCCACCAGTCAGGCTGTGGTATCTTTTCTCCAGGGCCGACAGCCTCTCTTTCTCCTGGAACATAAAGACGTATTTTAAAAGGCCCAGATATCAGTATCCCTGCAATTATCTGTACTTGTTCTTTTCCTTAAACTAGAATTACTGCTCTGCGGTTGTGTGCCTCCGCCAACCAATCAAGTTGCAGTTTACGTCCATGTCTGTCCAGACTCGTAATATATGTGGTAAAGACTTTGAAGGATTTATAAAAGGTATGAAGTTTATCTTTTATCTGGAATAGGCAAATTCTAATCAGTTCATCCTTGAGTCCATAAAGCCTCCAGCCACAGCCATGGTCTGCATGGAGGTGTAAGTTTGGGTGAACTCTCATTCAATGCACTCGCAGTGGGAGTTTGAACTGGTCACTTTGTACCTTTTGGAGCATTTGCAGCGTGAGGGTCCTGTCTTTGGCCAGCCGCTCACACTCCTGAGATGCCTGCAGGCCGAGCTGGTTGGCCTGGTTCTCCAGAGCAGACACCTTCTCCTAAAGAGGACAATACAGAAATCTTCAATGCCAGCTGTGACAATAGCATAGAAAGTATTGTGTTTCCCAGTACCAGAGTGAAAGGATGTTGCAGTGTAAAACAGACTCTTGCATGTGGTAACACCAAATGCCCGTGGTGCCGTTTTGTTGGTGTAAATAACAGAACTGTGAAAAAGTAATTCTCACATTGTAGTAAGAGAATCAGCATACTGTCTCCAGATGGCTGAGGCCTGTTTAGCTGCTACCTCTCTGCCTCCTCTGTGAGTGTACACTGTTCTTCCTTTATACAGGATTCTACACAGTGAAATATTTGCCATTGGCTGCTTCAAGTCTTACACAAAATCCACATTGTTCAAACCATAATGAGGATACTGTTGGATTCCAGATGGCCCACAGTCTCAGTCAGGTGTTTCCTCACCTTCCTCTTGGCCACGCTGCTGTGGTACTCTGCTCTCTCCTGGAGCAGCTGCTGGCTGATGGTTTCTCTCTCCTCCTCCAGGCTGCTCTCTCTCTCCAGCTGCTGAAACTCCAGGTCCTCAAACTTTTTGGTTCCTGCCTCCAACGCCTCTCCATCCTGACGGAGGCCCACATACAACATCAGCGGTTACAGCAGGAACAGGAAAAACACACTGTTTGCATTGCTCATTCTAAAGCCATCCACTATTGTCAGAGTAGCTTGGTTGCTGACGGCAAAGCGAAAACACCTTGACTTTTATATCTGAAACAGTTAAAAACATTTCCCCAGCATTGCTGAAGCTCTTTTTGGGGACAACTAAAAAGCACACGGTGCTAAGTCAGGCAGACAGCCATGAAGATCATGCTTCTACTGCAGCACAGCTACCAGTGAGTGTGCTAACCACATGTACAGTTATACACAGGAGGCAAGGGAATATCATTGACATTAAAACAACTATATTGCACTGAAAGAGTTGTAGTAAAGAACTAAACTTTTTTTTTTTTTTAACTTAATGTCATTTCATTCTCCCCTCCATCACTTACACTGCTAAAGCTAAAGACTAATAAACACCAACAATATTGGCTAATAAAGATATAGTGTAAATGCCATATGGAAAAAATGTCAATTTTCAAAATATACACATCAATATATTTCTATTAAAATATTGATATAAAAACTGTTGGCTGCATTGTAAATATATACACTATAGTATATTCAAGAATTATCTCAGGTATCTGCCAGTCCTTCCTGTTGTTACAATGTTGTTTAAAGTCCCCCTCCAGTCAATAATCAGTGTATCTTCTCATTCCTACAATGTGCTGTGTGAAGGATGTATGTGCAGAGTTTGACACTAGAACTCTGAAATGTTTAATGAGGAAGAAGGAGGAGATTATTTTTAGGATTTTTATGTGGGAATGTTTTTTTGCAAGGGAAAAAAAACATATCAGCTACACATTATTGTCCCAAGCAGATTATTTGTATATGTTGAAATAGTTGTCTGGAGGGGATCTTTAAGTTTTACAGCTCTTCTGTCAAAATGAGTGTTTGAGTCTGGAGGCTCTTAAGAGTCTTTGTAGCACTTGAGAAGGACCCGACATCCTGCAATGTCAATCCCCTGACATGCAGTCTGAGATGAAAATGACTCATTTCTGCAAGTGGTCAAAACAGGAACAAAGAACTCAAAATGCTGTTATAAAAAAATCATATGTACACCTTGGGAGCAACTTTTGACAGGACCCGATTCCCCAACTGTTTATCATAAAGATCTGCAATATCGTATCTCAAACTTTGTTCCCACTTTGCACACTTTTGGAGCCAGACAAAGGTAATAAAAGACGTACTCACAATGTCTGATTCTGCACTGTCAGCAAATAAATGTAGCCTAAACTAATTATTCTTTCATTTCTAAATGGTAAACCAAACAACAACATTAATGCACATAAGAGAAGTCACAGGATGAGAGTGAGGGAAGACAGAGGATGGATCTAGTCAGGGCCTATGTTAATTGATTAGTGAGCAGTTATACAAATTATGCGAGCCATGACAAATCACAGAAGAAATGCAGATCAGATTCACACATGCAGTGCAGCACGACCGCATCACATGACGCACATTTTACCAAAATGTATCACTTGCAGCCGAAGTGGCCGGGAGCCATTTGTGCGCTCCCGTGTTGACCTGCAGGGTTTCAGTAGCATGTAGGTGTGTTGTGGAGGAGGGAGCATTCCTGCAGCTTGTGGCAACAGCACATATGTGAGGGGCACTGAGAGGACTCATAAATAAGTGCATGTGTATCTGTACACCGTATGCAGTTGGCCCCTGCTGAAGGGTTAAAGGCGCCAGTAACACTATGTGCAATGGCATGTGCTGAGTTCTGGCACATATATGTATGTATATATATATACACATACATATATGTATATATGTACGGATGGAAAGGTTGCCGTCCCTTAGTTCTATGCCTTTTTAGGCTGATTATGTGACCCAAAAAGCCATTGCTACAATACAGATCAAATCACAAACAGTGCAGCCTTTTTCCTTTGTAGGGCAGTCTACAGAGCAGGGTCTATACCAAGAGTGGCCAAACTTTTTTTCCCTATGAGGGCAAAAACTAAAAGGTAATGGTGGGCTTTGGGCCAAAAGCAAACATATATTGTATTGTTAAGATTCAAAATGGTTCTAGGATCCCTGACTTCTTGCGCAAAATGTTACTCTGTCTGCTGTGCTCAGATTATGTAAAGTGATTAATAATTTAGCATTTTCAAAATCAAACCTTATCTAGCCTGCAGGCCCCACTTTGGCCAGCCCTGGTCTATATTAATGCAAACACTTAATTTTTTAGATGCTCCATTGTTTTTACAACACCAGATATTACAAATTCTAAATCTAAACTCTGTGCAAATACTGCTCTGTCGGGCCACTGCTTTCACTCGTAGGCTGGAGGGAACTGGGTTGGTGCTACTCACTACACGGTTGTGAGTGGATTTCAAGGGAGGTGTGTGTGTGTGTGTGTGTGTGTGTGTGTGTGTGTGTGTGTGTGTGTGTGTGTGTGTGTGTGTGGTGATAGACTGGGTCAGGTTTTGTAGTTTCAAAGGGGCATGCTACTGCAAAATGGAGTCCGCAGGAGGGTGGGTGGGTGGGTAGGTTGGGTTGGGAGGGGTGGTCTATGTGCTTCTGTTTCATTGACGACCCACCCTTTTGAGCTGTTCCTGTAACTGTTCCCGCAGGGACTCGGGACAGTTATGAAGCTGGTTCTTCAGCTCAGCGTAGCCCTCCTGGAGGCTCTGCAGGGCCCGGCGCTCGGCCTCAACATTAGCCCTCTCCTAGAAAGACACAACACACACCCACACACAAAATGGATGGACGAGGGGAGAGAGAGAAAGAGAGAGAAACACACTGCTCAAAATCCACGCCATGCAAATAAAAAAGCTGTAAGGTGTTAGCAACAGACACATCCCGACAGATTTTAAGGGCTTGGCAGGGCATAGGAAGTAGGTGCTGAATTGTCAGGATGTTACAGCTGGCAGTCTGGGATTCACAGATGGAACATGGTCCTAAAATAGCCAGAAAAGATAATTCCGACTCTCAAAATGTTCTAATAAACTTCAATTAGATTAACAGATACATTTGAGTCCCTACTAAGGACTTGCTAAAATCATTCTTCTGACAACTATTGGCTGTAAATATCGTAAAGGAACCATTATATCTTCCAACAAATATAACTTTAATAAGCTGTGAGAGAATTGCTCCATTATTTACTTGGCTTTAATTGGCCCCAGAACATGTATAAACTCACTTGTGATAACCCTGAGCACTGTTAATCTGACAGCAGTGACACTGTCTCAGTTGCTCTCCAGTTAAAGAACAGAAACTTCTTGTCTCTTAGGTGCTGCCCCAGTTTCAAGCTCAGGAATCAATCAATAACTGCTAACTTTGCCGTTATTGGCTGTGTTGGAGCTGGGGTGGCTTTAGTGTTTTTGATGTGTGAAAGTGAAAAGGTTGACAGGTCTTTTAGGACTACAAGCACTGACGGGAGTTTCACTCTCAAGTAAAAGCCAGTGTTCAAAATCAAGGGGAAGTTCAGGTGAAGCTTTAGATAGATACCATAATGCCAAAAATCTTATTGTCAGTAGTAGAAACACAGGTTTTAGGTATCTTCTAATAACACCTGAGGTTTCCATTCCAAATACTGATCCAATTTCATAAGAAGGATTCCCACCTAAGATAACTTGTGCTCTTTGACTGTATGTTGTTCCATACTGGGGTATACTTGCATCGACATCTACGCAACATGTTGTTTATGCTGTTGCTACAGGGTAGAAAACCCAACCAATCACAAGACAGAATACTTATGATGGCACATTCTAATAGCAGTTTTCACACCTGATGCGAACCAAGACCACCTTTTCAAGTGGACAGAGTGGGGTTTTTGAGACTTTTTTTGGATTCTGGATTTTGGGTCGAGTGTACTCCTCATCTGAAAGCCTCCTGTAATTCCGGGTTTCCGGTTTGACTCTAACAATCACAAATTACACCTTTACATTTTATTGGGAACCCTGTGGCACCCTCACAGAGACCCCTGGAGATACAGACAACAGACTAAACCTTTAACAAGAGTCAAGAAACTACAAAATGAGATTTCACTTCCTTTCTTCCTTTCTACAGTTGAGTGTGTGTGTGTGTGTGTGTGTGTGTGTGTGTGTGTGTTTGTGTGTTTGTGTGTGATGGGGGGGGGTAAGAAGAAAAAAGAACCCCCATAATACCACTATAAAGAACATGCTAGTTTCCCCTGTCCACTACCAGAACATCTAATTCAGAGTCTCTTGTGGAACCCGTGCACTACAGAACCAAGGACTACAGAACTCAAACGGCCACTGGAGGGCAGGTTTCCTGGCAAATGGGGTCTGTCATGCAGACAGTGGAGAAACAGGTGGATCAGAGATACAGCAACTGTGAGTGCTGAAGAAGCAGAGAGAAGGATTAGGGGTTAATGGATGTCAGTTAGTTAGCGGAGTCCAGCTAAGGAGAAAACGGATGAGAGTTGACCAGAGAGAGCGAAAACTAAGGTGAAAACATGCAAGAGAGAATACCCAAGGAGCTTAATCCACCCTTTATTCAGCCCTTTATATGGCTTCAAATTCTGTAATCTGTACAGACAGGAGGTCACCGACAGTGACGGACCAGTAGGGAATGTAAGAGACCAGAGGAGACTGTTTAGGAGACTATAAGGGAACAGGCAGTGAGTGTATGTGTGTCAAAGAATGTACAGCAGGTATTTGAATCCTGTATACTTGAATGTCATTGGTGGATTCAAATGAAGCATTTAAAACAAGAGCCCGGATCCTTCATCCACAGCTCTCTGTACCTTGTCTTTCTCCCTCTGGATGGCGCTCTCCAGCTCGTCCAGCTTGTGCTGCAGCTGAGTGATGATGTCTGTCTCAGCCTCAATCTGGTCGAGCTCCGCCTGCCTCTCGCCCTGCAGCAAGGCACGCTCCATCTCCGCCTGCAAGAGTGGAAGCCACACAGTGTCACCAACGAGCTGCGAGGCTGATATTAGCCCGAGCCTCAGGCCTCCACGGACGAACCACAACCATGAACTGTATTCAGCTTTAAGTGCTGCTGTGGACACTTGTCTCTTTTAATTAAGTAACAGTGCATGTTGTTATTTGAGCCTAGGCTGGTTTAGATCAAACAATATTCCATTAGCATCCACTTCCTGTACTCTACCTCCTGTTTGGACTCCTGGAGTTGCTGCTCCAGCTCCATCAGCCGGGTTTTGAGCTCATCGATCCGAGCAAGAACGCGAACCCGCTCATCTTCCAGGTAACCCAGCTCCAGGCGACCTGCGCTGCCTGAACTGGATGAGTCCTCGTGCTGCAGGGAGGGAGAACACAAGAGGTCAGGCTTTCAAGAAAGGAGGTGAAGCCAGGGGAGGAAGGCAGAGGCAGTCCCTTTATTACATTAGATACTGTTGTACAGTTTTGTATACAAAGTCTAGGAAGGCCTTAACTTAGGCCCTATATCACCTATATAAACAACAAGATCATCAGTGAGAATATTGACTATTTCTATGTAGTTATTCTTAATGCCTTTAATTCCTTTGAGTAAATGAAATGAGGCAGTAGAAACATTACTGCTTTTGTCCACAGGGGGCGCCAGAATCAACACAAAATGAGTTCCTTGTCAGAGCTTTAAAACCAGAAATGTTAGTAGTAAGAAACCCTTGCCACAACAAGCAGAGAGACAGAGAGAGAGAGAGAGAGAGAGAGAGAGAGAGAGAGAGAGAGAGAGAGAGAGAGAGAGAGAAAGAGAGAGAGAGAAGAAATGGACAGGAAGGACTGATAAATGAGAATCATGCAGGGGCCATGCAGCTTCATGTTTTTTAGGCTATGAGCACACATTTAACACATTGTACAACGTTTTTTCCGGCCATGCAGGGTCACTGATATGTAGGACATACGAGTTCAACATTACATAACATGCATCATGTTCACATCACATGCATCCATGTGAAACTAAAACTCCCAAAAAACACACATTTCTCCAAACATCACATAGTTTGATTATTATTGATTATTGATCATTATGGAAGGAGTCAATGCGTGGAGAAATTCTCTGTTTGGTTTTCATTTGAATCAAACACTGCACTGTGAAAGCAGATTATGTAAGGAGTCACTCTGTGTCTTCTTTTGTACTTCATTACTTGGGTGTAAGAGCGAAGGACAGTTTAAGATCCCGGCAGTGAAGCTGCTAACACAAGATCCGTCAGATGGTGACTTGGAACATGATTCATTGTGTAATGCATTATGTCCAAACAGTCCTGCAGTCTGTGGTAAAAACCCGTCTTTCTCCTTAAGGGAGCTCCTTTCTATCATTCAGTAAACTGAACTAAGTGACATATTTTATGGCTATTTAATATCATATAAAAAGCATAACAATAACAGCACAGAACAACTATCAGTGTGAGCACAATGACTGCTGGATGTTTGTGTAAAACCAGTGATTTGGATGAATGTATCTGGGATAATTTTTCCAGATATTTTAGGAATTTTAGAAACTTTTAATACAATTCTCTGTCTGTATTATGTATTTATTTAGTGTTTAACGATACATACATAGCTAATAGGCTTATTGTTTTGACAAATGAAGTGTTTCCTTCTCATTGTTCTATTAGCTGTTGTTTAACGGTTGTTTTAACCTTTTTAACGGAGGATGAGGCAGGAGGGAACCAGTGCCCTAATGGAATGTGAAAAATCTGACATTTTTGTTGCGTGTTGATCTTGAGTAGTTTGTTCTGTCCAAGGGGTCTCAGGAAGAACATTTTGTGCAAACATAGAACTATGGATTAGATTTTTTAAGAAGTGAACACTATGTTCAGAATGAAAACCTGCATAAATCTGGACCTCATTGAGCAACTGCTGCCCTAAACTGTATGAGGGGAGGCAATAATGGTGAGAGGATAAAGCTGATATGATATGACCAGGCATTAGGACGCCTTGGCTAATATGGCTGATGACCAGTAAACAAATTCAGAAACTTCCTTCAGGATCAGAACCACTGATTGAGCAAAGCCAAGCACATCATTAGCACATGCTGCTTCCACAGTGGCATGCAGAGAGCGTCTTTGCTGGGAGAGAAGCATTCCCTCTGACCTGTCTGTCTCCATTGTGCAGTGCTGATGCTGTGCTGAGAGCAGATGTCCTCACCTCCTGATGTGTGCTCTCTGTACTACTACACTCCTCCTTCAGGTTCTCCTCGTCGCTCTCCCGCTGTCTCTGCAGCAGGCGGAGCGTTGCAGAGGACGGTGTCCCTCCGAGGACGTTCTCCATGGACGGCCTCCGCCCCATGCTGTCCGACAGCCCCCCAGGAAACCCTGTCCTCCCTGAGCCCAGGGGTTCCAGGCCGGTGCTTTCTCCTTTGTTGTATTCGGCACAGAGGTTCAGGATGGTCTCTAGTCGCTGTCTCTCCTAAGGACAGACACAAACAAAGAGGGACATCAGATTAGGGTTTGACACATCTCTTTTTCTCACCTTGGGTCTAAAGCACATCTTCAGACTCTTACACACACTGATTTAAACCTGAGCCTATGCTTGAACAAAACCAAAAATGGTAAACATCTGACTGACTAGCTGTATCCATTTTTTAATAAAGGGACAATATTAGCTTTGTATTTCAACACACTGATATCAGATTACATCCAGCCCTGGTAGTCCTCGCGGTGTCATTTCCTGTCTGTGTGCTGGTTTATGGGGCTGAGCCGGTTACTGATGACAATCTGAAGATGAAGAGCCGGCCTGAAAATTGTATCCTGTATTATATATTTCAAACTATCTCACTGCCATCTCCCAAATATCCTATTTGACTGAGCTGAATTCCAGTGAAGCAACCAGACTGATGGGAGATGGAACTAATGATGGATGGACTGAAGCTACTGGTGGGTGATATTTTTCCTCAAACAGGGGTCGTATTCATAAGGCTTCAGAGTACCAAGAGTTACTCCTAGTGACAAAATTCTAAGGAAATTCTTAGAATTAGCTTATGGCATTTTCTAAGAATTTCCCCTTACAGCTGAGACAAGATCCTGGTGAAGATACAAGTTATTCACAAAGCATCTGAGCCCTTAAGACAGCTCCAAAGGAATGAAGGGCTACAGAGACAGACAGATAGATTGCGCAAGGGTAAGATGCATTCTCATCTCCTACCCAACACTTTAATGCCAGAAATGAAAATGATCACCACACTAATTTATTTGACTACCCCCCCCCCGTTAATATCAAATATATATATTAAGTACTAAAAAAAGGTAACTGGATACGGCCCTAGATAACTAACAAACAGTGTGACAAAGTTTACCTACTCAATTCAAAGCCACATGATGTTATACTCAATTCCAAATACTTTATGGAACAATTCAACTAACACAGAACAGAAAGGTAAAGTCAACTGCAGATGTTACAGACTGCCTTGTACCAGGGGAAGAATTTCCAAATGAACACTGACTGGTTGATAACCACAGTAGCACTAATACCAGTATGAAACCCAATCTGTGATCTGACACTTCAGTAAAGTCTCATTTACAGGATATATTTACCACCCAGCCTCGGTTTCAGTGAGAGCAGACATGAAGTTTGTCACGACTTCTCTTATCCCTGAAACAACATAGCCAGCCCACACTACCCTCTCCCCCGGGTGCTGCATGCATGGGAGGCAGACTCAGTGACTGGTTGTCCAGCTGTCACTATGAGGGGTCAGCCCACCTACATTATGGGGGCTCTGGCAGACCAGGCCAACAGGGTGACCTCTGAACTCTCAACGTCAGCTGCTGTCTGCTGCTGCTCTACCCCTCCGCTGCAGACACAGCGTCTCTGTGTGCTGTGAGCGTTAAAGGCACATACACCAGATTCACCACCGGCTCCTGTACTCCACGCTCACACTATACATTTCATATAATTTTGTTTTGCTGTCACCACAGGAAGTGAATGATGGAAGGTCATAACTAGAAAAGTAATTCTCGGGTGCCCGGTTTAGCTCAGTTGGTAGAGCTGGCGACCCAAGAACCAAAGTTGAGTCCTTGCTGCAGTGGCCCAGGGTTCGAGTCCGACCTGCGGCCCTTTGCTGCGTGTCATCCCCCACTCTGCCCCCCTTTCCTGTCTACCTTTGGCTGTCTCTATCAATTAAAGGCAATAAAAGCCCCCCAAAAAATATACTTTAAAAAAAAGAAAAAGTTATTCTTGACTTTGGAAACAGTAGTTTGAGAAAAAAAACATAAGTCAAGGGACACTTATTAGCTTTTCGTGGAGTTTCCAATGGCCTCTTAAGGTCTCACCTTCAAGGACCTTCTTACCTGCATCACAAGATTCACCTAATATTAATGTGTTTTTGTTTTGTAATTTCTTTGGTAATAAACAGCCAGATTTAAACAAGCTGACTGCTCACACAGCTGGCAATTCAAACCAAAAGAATTAGATCATTATCAGAATTAGCTCTTCTGGAGCCAAAGACGCACTGTGTGACTCTATGCTCTTGTGGCGTAGGAACACTTTGGCAGCAAAACTGTTCTCACCCACAAATAAAAGCCCTCGTGTACCTTCTCCCTCGGTTTTCCCACTGAGTGGAGCATCTGCATAATTAGGAGCTACAGCCCCACCATTAGATTCAACCTGTAATCTGGGGCCGGGTAGCTTTCAACCGAGTGGGTGGGAGTAAAAAGACCCCTTTGGGCTGTGGAACAGTGCTATATATTCACGAGAGAAGAGTTCAAACATTTACTGGCAAGTCTACAGCTACTCATGAGTCCTCCCACTCAACATCTGCTTGAACGTACACACTGATTAGACCACTCAGAGTTCTGACGCCTGTCTCATTTTTGTCAAGAAATCTCGATTGAGAGCCGGCGCTTTATTGTCTCATTTGATTGCCAGACAGCCTTTAAGCTACTAAACCTGTGTGATGGATGAGGAGCAAGATCACATGAAGATTTCATACCAAAATGTGTTTGGCCTCAACATAAATCAACTTGACGCAGCATCAAATTTGACACCCGAGATATGCAAGCTGCACTGAAATTATGCTCCTAATCAAATGCATGTTGACAGATTTGCGTGAATCCCATATTTCATGTTTTCTCGTGTGGGTCTTTTAAATGCCAGAGGAATTTTTTATGTTCCGAGGTTGTTGCTGCCACAGGCGCTAAAAATCCTTTAGTTTATAGGTCTCTGGGTCTCTCTGTTAGATATCATTAGCAGGTCCCTTCGGGGTCTCGGAGCTGGAACAAGGTTGGAACACAATAGTTCAATCAGGTTATGCAAATATAGGCCTTTCTGGTTCGCCTGTGAATGACGAAGAAATATTTCCCAAAATATAACAAATAGCTTCTCTTTTATAAATCAACTTCAGGAGCCTATACAAAGACATTTCCCAACCAATAACCTAAAACCTGGCATCAAAAATTCCCTTCTACTCTGGAATAAAGAATAAAAGTCTGGGTTTACTCACTCTCATGGCGGACACTGTGAGAAGTAACAGCTCAAACCTTGAAATGAGGTAAACACTGAAGCCAGGACAGCTTGACGAAAAGACAGATGAACAAATACTGGCCTTATACAGCCAGTGACACCCCCTTTCTCCATGTCACCACCACAACAACAAACCCCCATCCTCTGGGAGGATACGAGGGTGATGTGACAGAGCTCCATGGCAACATTCAATCATCTGCTGCTTAGAGAAACTTCTCAAACCCAAAACTACAGTTTACTATGGATGCATATCTGAGCTGTTTCCATGGTTAGAAATAATTAATGTGGGTTTACGGACTCTGTTCTGGAAGTGTGTCAACTAAATGTCCATGTATTGTTTCAGGAGTGTCCTATTCCACCTCATCATGAAATACACAGTTTTGGTCCAGGGAAAGCAGATCTCTATCTGTTAACAGTTGAACCAGCCTCTGTGAGCCCTGCTGTGTCACCAGGGCAAGAGAAAAGCCAAGTCACAAGTCTGAAACCACCAACAACGTGATAAACACAAACACATAAAGCTTAGCTAAGCCATGTTGGCTAAACACTTCCTGCAAAGCAGTGTAGTCATATTTAATAGCCATCTGTGCACACAGACACAAACTTTCCTTCAATGATTCATCACTAATGTCAGCTTTATGTACAGATTTTAAATAGCACCAACTCACTCTGCTTTCCTATATGTAGTAGAACAAACAACAATAAACACTATTTTATGTGTTATCACTAAATCCATATATTATCTGAAAAGCAATACATACATATATAAGCAAGACAAAGTAAAGCAATAAAGCCTTACAGTAGGTGGGTTACATTAGGCCAGTGTTAATCCCATACATGTGAGTTTTCACAGCTTTAGTGCAGAGTCAAAGTCCTGCAGACTCAGTGTCTATCAAAGAGGAGGGGGTGATACTTCCAGACAACTGTGAGTTTGTGGGGGAATGCCTGGTTCCCAGAGCTCCAAGCTCCAGCCTGCATCCACCCCCAGACACCAGTTCACACATTCCTCAGCCCTCCATGTCTCACCTAGTGGGTGGCTCTCATGACAACTGGGCTTGATAAAGACATTTTGAGGTTGAAGCTGCTGTTGATTACATATTGTTCAAAGTGTGGTCATTCCATGGGAAAAGGGACACAAGTCATACAGGTTATAGCAGGGGACATAAACTAGCATATATTCAAAGAGCCTGCTCAGGAGCCTGCCTCGCCATTAAATTAAAAAACTATGTATTTAATTAAATTCAGGGCTCATCAATAAGAATTTCCCAGTAAAATGCCACATCAGGCTAGTAAATCTACCAACTCACTTGCCCTCATCCCTGTTGAGAGTTGCACATGCTCAGTACCGCTCAGGCACTCATGAGATAATGGCGGTAGGTAAAGACAAAGTGAACTGAAGCGCCAGAGAGCAATTCAATTATCCTGGAACCATGAGTTTAGTTGGAGGACGTGGGTGAAACTCGAGTTCGTTTTTGAAGGCATGTCAAGTTTGAGTGATGAAAATGAAATTGACTGTCTAAGGTCATGCATTTTGACTCTATGATGAAACATATGTGATGAGATAGTAAATCAATATGTCAAACGTCAGGGGTGCACTAGGGGTGTAGGGGTTAAAAGTGTTTTAAGTCCCGCTCTTGCTCAATGTGAAAGAAAAAGTCAATTTTGAGGCTCAAATATTACATTGAAATAAAAACTAAACCCTTTTTATCCTTTTCTTGTGAACCGGATCCTTACGTGCTTAGTTTGAAGGTTTAACTGTGCCATCAGTTGGTGAATGAATGTGTTTACTTGTTGTTTTACTGTTGTGATAAAATCATTGGAATTTCCATCTGTAACATACAAACAGTATTTAGTAGCACAAGTAAAGAAGAGTCAACAAACTGACTCAGAAATGTCAGCCACACAAGAATCTCTGTCATATTTTTGCTAACATAAGCTAACATTAGCCACCGTAA